CGTGCACGGGAACTGCCATCCTTTCACCCCCACGTGCACGGGAACTGCCATCCTTTCACCCCCACGTGCACGGGAACTGCCATCCTTTCACCCCCACGTGCACGGGAACTGCCATCCTTTCACCCCCACGTGCACGGGAACTGCCATCCTTTCACCCCGACGTGCACTGGAACTGCCATCCTTTCACCCCCACGTGCACTGGAACTGCCATCCTTTCACCCCCACGTGCACGGGAACTGCCATCCTTTCACCCCCACGTGCACTGGAACTGCCATCCTTTCACCCCCACGTGCACTGGAACTGCCATCCTTTCACCCCCACGTGCACGGGAACTGCCATCCTTTCACCCCCACGTGCACTGGAACTGCCATCCTTTCACCCCCACGTGCACGGGAACTGCCATCCTTTCACCCCCACGTGCACTGGAACTGCCATCCTTTCACCCCCACGTGCACGGGAAGTGCCATCCTTTCACCCCCACGTGCACGGGAACTGCCATCCTTTCACCCCCACGTGCACGGGAACTGCCATCCTTTCACCCCCACGTGCACGGGAACTGCCATCCTTTCACCCCCACGTGCACGGGAACTGCCATCCTTTCACCCCCACGTGCACGGGAACTGCCATCCTTTCACCCCCACGTGCACGGGAACTGCCATCCTTTCACCCCCACGTGCACGGGAACTGCCATCCTTTCACCCCCACGTGCACGGGAACTGCCATCCTTTCACCCCCACGTGCACGGGAACTGCCATCCTTTCACCCCCACGTGCACGGGAACTGCCATCCTTTCACCCCCACGTGCACGGGAACTGCCATCCTTTCACCCCCACGTGCATGGGAACTGCCATCCTTTCACCCCCACGTGCATGGGAACTGCCATCCTTTCACCCCCACGTGCACGGGAACTGCCATCCTTTCACCCCCACGTGCACTGGAACTGCCATCCTTTCACCCCCACGTGCACTGGAACTGCCATCCTTTCACCCCCACGTGCACTGGAACTGCCATCCTTTCACCCCCACGTGCACTGGAACTGCCATCCTTTCACCCCCACGTGCACTGGAACTGCCATCCTTTCACCCCCACGTGCACTGGAACTGCCATCCTTTCACCCCCACGTGCACTGGAACTGCCATCCTTTCACCCCCACGTGCACTGGAACTGCCATCCTTTCACCCCCACGTGCACTGGAACTGCCATCCTTTCACCCCCACGTGCACTGGAACTGCCATCCTTTCACCCCCACGTGCACTGGAACTGCCATCCTTTCACCCCCACGTGCACTGGAACTGCCATCCTTTCACCCCCACGTGCACTGGAACTGCCATCCTTTCACCCCCACGTGCACTGGAACTGCCATCTTTTCACCCCCACGTGCACTGGAACTGCCATCCTTTCACCCCCACGTGCACTGGAACTGCCATCCTTTCACCCCCACGTGCACTGGAACTGCCATCCTTTCACCCCCACGTGCACTGGAACTGCCATCCTTTCACCCCCACGTGCACTGGAACTGCCATCCTTTCACCCCCACGTGCACTGGAACTGCCATCCTTTCACCCCCACGTGCACTGGAACTGCCATCCTTTCACCCCCACGTGCACTGGAACTGCCATCCTTTCACCCCCACGTGCACTGGAACTGCCATCCTTTCACCCCCACGTGCACTGGAACTGCCATCCTTTCACCCCCACGTGCACTGGAACTGCCATCCTTTCACCCCCACGTGCACTGGAACTGCCATCCTTTCACCCCCACGTGCACTGGAACTGCCATCCTTTCACCCCCACGTGCACTGGAACTGCCATCCTTTCACCCCCACGTGCACGGGAACTGCCATCCTTTCACCCCCACGTGCACGGGAACTGCCATCCTTTCACCCCCACTTGCACGGGAACTGCCATCCTTTCACCCCCACGTGCACTGGAACTGCCATCCTTTCACCCCCACGTGCACTGGAACTGCCATCCTTTCACCCCCACGTGCACTGGAACTGCCATCCTTTCACCCCCACGTGCACTGGAACTGCCATCCTTTCACCCCCACGTGCACTGGAACTGCCATCCTTTCACCCCCACGTGCACTGGAACTGCCATCCTTTCACCCCCACGTGCACTGGAACTGCCATCCTTTCACCCCCACGTGCACTGGAACTGCCATCCTTTCACCCCCACGTGCACTGGAACTGCCATCCTTTCACCCCCACGTGCACTGGAACTGCCATCCTTTCACCCCCACGTGCACTGGAACTGCCATCCTTTCACCCCCACGTGCACTGGAACTGCCATCCTTTCACCCCCACGTGCACTGGAACTGCCATCCTTTCACCCCCACGTGCACTGGAACTGCCATCTTTTCACCCCCACGTGCACTGGAACTGCCATCCTTTCACCCCCACGTGCACTGGAACTGCCATCCTTTCACCCCCACGTGCACTGGAACTGCCATCCTTTCACCCCCACGTGCACTGGAACTGCCATCCTTTCACCCCCACGTGCACTGGAACTGCCATCCTTTCACCCCCACGTGCACTGGAACTGCCATCCTTTCACCCCCACGTGCACTGGAACTGCCATCCTTTCACCCCCACGTGCACTGGAACTGCCATCCTTTCACCCCCACGTGCACTGGAACTGCCATCCTTTCACCCCCACGTGCACTGGAACTGCCATCCTTTCACCCCCACGTGCACTGGAACTGCCATCCTTTCACCCCCACGTGCACTGGAACTGCCATCCTTTCACCCCCACGTGCACTGGAACTGCCATCCTTTCACCCCCACGTGCACTGGAACTGCCATCCTTTCACCCCCACGTGCACTGGAACTGCCATCCTTTCACCCCCACGTGCACTGGAACTGCCATCCTTTCACCCCCACGTGCACTGGAACTGCCATCCTTTCACCCCCACGTGCACGGGAACTGCCATCCTTTCACCCCCACGTGCACGGGAACTGCCATCCTTTCACCCCCACTTGCACGGGAACTGCCATCCTTTCACCCCCACGTGCACGGGAACTGCCATCCTTTCACCCCCACGTGCACGGGAACTGCCATCCTTTCACCCCCACGTGCACGGGAACTGCCATCCTTTCACCCCCACGTGCACTGGAACTGCCATCCTTTCACCCCCACGTGCACTGGAACTGCCATCCTTTCACCCCCACGTGCACGGGAACTGCCATCCTTTCACCCCCACGTGCACTGGAACTGCCATCCTTTCACCCCCACGTGCACTGGAACTGCCATCCTTTCACCCCCACGTGCACGGGAACTGCCATCCTTTCACCCCCACGTGCACTGGAACTGCCATCCTTTCACCCCCACGTGCACGGGAACTGCCATCCTTTCACCCCCACGTGCACTGGAACTGCCATCCTTTCACCCCCACGTGCACGGGAAGTGCCATCCTTTCACCCCCACGTGCACGGGAACTGCCATCCTTTCACCCCCACGTGCACGGGAACTGCCATCCTTTCACCCCCACGTGCACGGGAACTGCCATCCTTTCACCCCCACGTGCACGGGAACTGCCATCCTTTCACCCCCACGTGCACGGGAACTGCCATCCTTTCACCCCCACGTGCACGGGAACTGCCATCCTTTCACCCCCACGTGCACGGGAACTGCCATCCTTTCACCCCCACGTGCACGGGAACTGCCATCCTTTCACCCCCACGTGCACGGGAACTGCCATCCTTTCACCCCCACGTGCACGGGAACTGCCATCCTTTCACCCCCACGTGCACGGGAACTGCCATCCTTTCACCCCCACGTGCATGGGAACTGCCATCCTTTCACCCCCACGTGCATGGGAACTGCCATCCTTTCACCCCCACGTGCACGGGAACTGCCATCCTTTCACCCCCACGTGCACGGGAACTGCCATCCTTTCACCCCCACGTGCACGGGAACTGCCATCCTTTCACCCCCACGTGCACGGGAACTGCCATCCTTTCACCCCCACGTGCACGGGAACTGCCATCCTTTCACCCCCACGTGCACGGGAACTGCCATCCTTTCACCCCCACGTGCACGGGAACTGCCATCCTTTCACCCCCACGTGCACGGGAACTGCCATCCTTTCACCCCCACGTGCACGGGAACTGCCATCCTTTCACCCCCATGTGCACGGGAAGTGCCATCCTTTCACCCCCACGTGCACGGGAACTGCCATCCTTTCACCCCCACGTGCACGGGAACTGCCATCCTTTCACCCCCACGTGCACGGGAACTGCCATCCTTTCACCCCCACGTGCACGGGAACTGCCATCCTTTCACCCCCACGTGCACGGGAACTGCCATCCTTTCACCCCCAGGTGCACGGGAACTGCCATCCTTTCACCCCCACGTGCACGGGAACTGCCATCCTTTCACCCCCACGTGCACGGGAACTGCCATCCTTTCACTCCCACGTGCACGGGAACTGCCATCCTTTCACCCCCACGTGCACGGGAACTGCCATCCTTTCACCCCCACGTGCACGGGAACTGCCATCCTTTCACCCCCACGTGCACGGGAACTGCCATCCTTTCACCCCCACGTGCACGGGAACTGCCATCCTTTCACCCCCACGCAGTTATTGAACCCTGCGCAGGGGAGATGAAAACATGAGGGACGAAGGAGGGACAAACGATTTTTTAGGCGCCTCAAAACCTACCACCTGGCGACGGCTCATTTATTGAGCTCTGCCAACGACATGGCTGTATGGGGCCATTGGAGACACAAACAAGAGTTACTGAATGCCGTGAGTGAATCAGTGAAGGCGGGCTCATAGAGGCTCCAACTTCTGAAGCATCTGGGAGCATGAAAGCAACAGCCGAAGTGGCTCTGTAGTGAGGAACCCATGAACCCATAAACCCACAAACCCATGAACCCATGGCTACTAGTATGGCCGCAACTTGCTCATACTTGTAGCCTGGTGATGGCACTTGCAAGCCACCATTGAAGACCAGGACCACGTAAAGACTGAAGCGAGTGTCTCAAGTAAACACTCACTGTCGAGCCGAACCGGTGTGCTGTGAACACCTGGCACTGCAAACCCAGGAGAGGCATGCCCCACTTCAGGTGAAATGGCAGGTGCTTCAGGTGAACGGTTGCTGGTGTCAGGTGGGCTGGCAGGTGTGAGGGGCGGCGGCAGGAGGAACCTGCGGTGGCCTGATGACGTGGCAGCTAGCGGCAGACACGGGTGGAAGGCGAATCCATTGATGGTATCTGGGGAGGTGGGTTTGGAAGAAAGAGGAGCGCGAGGAGGAAGGGTTGGAAGGAACAATTGAGTTCGCCTTCCCAAGTGGGTTCTCCTTTCGAAGACAGGCACGCTGGGGTGGGCGAATTCTAGGAGGTGCGATTGAAAGTGTCTCAGAGCACCACATTGCACTGCAAAGCACCGCACATCCACGTTACGCTAAGCGAATGTCAAGTTTGCAATGTTGGAGACGGAAGCGAGGTCAAACACCCACACCTGACTGTCCTGAGGGGAGCTTCAAGGGTGCCCCCACCTAGGCGAACTGCATTGCAGTGCCCTGCACCGCACTGCACCACACATCAACGTTACCATGAGCGATTTTGAGTGCTGTAATTTTGGCGCCTGTAGCGAGGTCAAACACCCACACCTGACCGTGGGGGGTGATTGGAGGTCCTCAACCTAGGTTAACCACACTTCACCGCACTGCGCTACATTGCACCGCGCTGCAATGCACTGCACACCAACGTTACCTTGAGCGGCTTCGAACGCTGCGATCTTGGAGCCTGAAGCAAGGTCAAACACCCACACCTGACCGTCCTGCGATTGAGAAGTGGAGGGCGAAATGGTGAGAGGGGTGAGAGGTTGAGAGGGCGAGAGGGCGAGAGGGCGAGAGGGTGAGAGGGTGAGAGGGGAAAAACTATTAAAAGGGGTTGTCAATGTCATACAATATACCATGCCATACCATGCTACTCCATGCCATACCATGCCATACCACGCCATGCTGAATGCCATGCCATGCGATGCCATGGCCCATCAAGCCTGCAAGCGCCATGCCCAGTGGCACTGGATCCTGTATTGGCAGTGGCACTGGCATGGATGATGCGGGCCACTATATCATGAAGTAAGGGTGCTACTCTGCCTTGAGTGCCATGCCTAGACAGTGCTATGCCTCACCCGTACAGCGCTATGCCTCACCAGTACAGCGCTACGCCTCACCTGTAGACAATGCCTGATGTGTTGCGCACGTCCCAGCAGTGGATGGCTGGATCCTGGAGAGAGGAGTGCAGGCAAAGGAAAGAACGACAGGGGGGCTAATCGCCTTGACGCAAAAGAATTTTGCGACTTTTTCCGACTCATGCGAGAATGGTATGAAATGACAAAGGGAACAAAGACACGAACCGGGGATGAGGGGAACGATGCCACGAAGAGGAAGAAGCAGGCAAAGGCTGAAGAGGAGCAGAGGAAGGAACAGAAGTGTGCTTCTCTGTGCTGCTGTGAGCAGCAGCAGCATGCTGGGTACATGCCGGCACGGCATGCATGCAGGTCACTTGAAACGAGGGCTTTTGAGACGTCTCAAAGGTCATTTGAAACGAGGGGCTGACCTTGCGTGCACCCGAGTAGAGGAAGTTGCCATCTCGAGAGAAGAGCACCTGACATGATGGGATGTGCGCAGAGGGAGTGAGTGGGGGAGAAGTGGGGGGAGGGGGGAAGGGGAGGAGTGGGGGTGAGAGTGGAAGGGGAGGAGAGGGGGGGAGGGTGGAAGGGGAGGAGTGAGTGGGAGGGGAGAGAGGGTAGAAGGTTGCAAGCGACAGCACTGATAAACCCTTGAAGCAACGCTAACGCCCACTCTTACACCCACCTACGTGGCCCAATTGTTAAGAAGCCCTGAGTTAAACTGAACCTGAGATGGAACTAACTCAAAGGATGGCCGGAATTCAATATTCGGCCATTGCAAAAGACAGAGCAGAGCCTAGCCTACTCCAACACCACCCACCTGCGTGACCTTCGAGAATTCTCAAAAGTCGCACCAATAGAGCCTAGCCTAGCCTACTCCAACACCACCCACCTGCGTGACCTTCGAGAATTCTCAAAAGTCGCACCAATAGAGCCTAGCCTAGCCTACTCCAACACCACCCACCTGCGTGACCTTCGAGAATTCTCAAAAGTCGCACCAATAGAGCCTAGCCTAGCCTACTCCAACACCACCCACCTGCGTGACCTTCGAGAATTCTCAAAAGTCGCACCAATAGAGCCTAGCCTAGCCTAATCCAACACCACCCACCTGCGTGACCTTCGAGAATTCTCAAAAGTCGCACCAATAGAGCCTAGCCTAGCCTACTCCAACACCACCCACCTGCGTGACCTTCGAGAATTCTCAAAAGTCGCACCAATAGAGCCTAGCCTAGCCTACTCCAACACCACCCACCTGCGTGACCCCCCATGTGCGCCCATGCATCACTTCACTGTCAATCTCTCCCTGCCCAGCTCGCCACACAGCCATGCAGCCATACAGCCATGCAGCCATACAGCCATGCAGCCATACAGCCATGCAGCCATACAGCCATGCAGCCATACAGCCATGCAGCCATGCAGCCATGCAGCCATGCAGCCATGCAGCCATGCAGCCATGCAGCCATGCAGCCATACAGCCATGCAGCCATGCAGCCATACAGCCATGCAGCCCCTTGAATGAGGCACCCACATTCACCCACACCCACAGCCACGCCCATGCCCACACATGCACATGCAAACCCACCCACCCACCTGCGTGACTCCCCCTGTGTGCCCGTGCATCACTGCAATCGCCTCCCTGCCCAGATCCCCGTACAGCCCCACACTGCCATCATACGACCCCGCAGCTAGCAGGCCTGGCATGAACGGGTTGGTGGCTAGGCAGGACAGCAGACCTGCGATGGGGACGGTGGCGATTACAGTTGGGGAGGTTGAGGGTTGAGAGGGGGTAGGGAAAACGTGGGTCACCGTACAGCCCCACACTGCCATCGCACAGCCCCACACTGCCATCGCACAGCCCCACACTGCCATCGCACAGCCCCACACTGCCATCGCACAGCCCCACACTGCCATCATACAACCCCATGGCTAGAAGGCCTGGCATGAACAGGCTGGTGGCCAAAACGGAGAGCAGGCCTCACACACAGTGAAAAAGGGGGTGATGGGGGGTTGAGGGTGGGACAGTGAAAAAGTGGGTGATGGGGGGTTGAGGGTGGGACAGTGAAAAAGTGGGTTGCCATACAGCCTCACACTGCCATCATACGAGCCCACGGCTAGAAGGCCCAGCATGGGGATGGGGGGTGATGAGGGGACGGGGGTGGTGGGATGGGGTGTGCTGTGCTGCGCTGTGCTGCGCTGCGCTGCGCTGCGCTGCGCTGCGCTGCGCTGCGCTGTGCTGTGCTGTGCTGCGCGGTGCTGTGCGGTGCTGCTGGCAGTCCCGTCAAAGTAACCTCGTCACAACCACTCACATCGCAGCCACTCCCAGAACCCACTTCACCATCCATCCCCCACCCATACTTAGGCGGCCCTATCCCCTTCCCCACCTGTCTTCCCGCGCCCCTTGGCGCCCGTGCTGTGCTGCTAGCAATCGCATCCCGGTACCCTCAGGTACAGCTCTCGCCCTCAGGTACAGCTCTCGCCCTCAGGTACAGCTCTCGCCCTTGCTCCTCCCACAGGCACCATCCATCGTGTTTTGAGACGTCTCAAAACACGCATCCCGGTACCCTCAGGTACAGCTCTCGCCCTTACTCCTCCCACAGGCACCATCCATCCCTCCCCGGCCATACCTAGAGGCCCCGATCCCCCGGGCCCCAGTCATACCTGTCTGGCCGCGTCTCTTGGCGCCCGTGCTATGCTGCTGGCAGTCACGCCCCGGTATGGGGCACCTACCCGTCCCCCTACCCCATCCCCTACCCGTCTGCCTCCGCCCCTACCTGTGCACCCCCACCCCTACCTGTCTGGCCGCGTCCCTTGGCGCCCGTGCTGTGCTGCTGGCAGTCGCGCCCCGGTATGCTCGTGTCAAACACTCTGAGACAGCGTGGGAAGCCCAGGATGAGCCTGGGTGGGATAGGGGGGGCAGGGTAGGGCAGGGTAGGGCAGGGGAAGGGAGGGGAGGGCGATTGCGCCCCTTGCTGCCCGTGCGGTGCTGCTGGCAGTCACGCCCCGGTATGCTCGTGTCAAACACTCAGAGACAGCGTGGGAAGCCCAGGATGAGCCTGGGTGGGGGACAGGAAAGGGGAGGGGAGGGAGGCATGGTGGGGCAGGCCAGGGACAGGGCAGGAAGAGCAGGGAGTGGGGCAGCTATCAAGTGGAGATAAGGGAGGTAGGAAGGCAGAGAGGAGGAGAGGAGGAAACGAAGGCAGAAGAGAAAGAAACAAAGGAGGAGGAAGTGAAAGAAAAGCTCACTTGTTTCAATCACTTGCTTGATCCTTTCTCCCTCAATGCAATGGCAGCAAAACAACCTCCTACACTCAATCCCTCACTCACTCATTCACTCACCCACTCAACTCACTTGATCTTCCTACACAAACCACTCGTTTACTCACTCCTGCACTCATACTTTCCCTTCCTTGGCTCTCCCCGACTCACACCCTCATGCGCACCCTCACTCACTCCCTCACTCACTCCCTCACTCACCACTCACTTGTCTCCTTGAGAAGAGAAGGTGAGGGAGAGGGCAGCAGCGATCTCGTCCAGGTGGTCATATGCTCGGTACGTGCAGCGCAGCTGGTGTGGTATGGTGCGGGAGGGTGGGGAGGATTGCATTTCGGTACATTCAACGCAGTAGCAATACAATGTGCACACATGCATGGCGATTCCGTCCATGTGGTCATGTGCGCGGTACGTGCAGCGCAGCGCAGCTGGATGAGATATGGGAGTGGGGCATGATTGGAGGAGGAAATGGAAGCTGTAGAGCGGGCAGCAGCAATATCTCGTCTCGTCCATCACCTGGCTTACCACCTCACCTAAGACCTGGTATAACACCTGAACAGCCCTGGCGGACCACCTGACCTGAGAGCACACCTGGCCAACCACCTGAGAGCACACCTGGCCAGTCATGGCATCCCACAGGTGCACGGGGTGGTCCCTTGATGTTGATGCAAACACACATGACACCGGGTCTGCAAGTGATGACGTGGCAGTGTTGGTGCAAACACACATGACACCGGGTCTGCAAGTGATGACGTGGCAGTGTTGGCGCAGACACACACGGCACTGGGTATGTGTGGTCGTGTAGGAGATGATGTGGAGTGTGACAGCAGTGTGATGGCGTGGGATGGGATGGTGTGGCGATTGACATGCAGCGTGACAGCATGGTACATGCAGTGTGACAGCATGGTGCATGCAGTGCATACATGCCATGGGAATTGTGTGTGGTGAGTTGCTACAAGACAAGATGGGGCGGTGTGGGCCGGGGAATGATCCGGTGTGTGTGAGACAAAGCTGTCACCATGTGGGCGGTGTGGTGTGGAGAGGATTAAGCAGACAGACACGGGGCACGGCACGCACTTGGTATGGATATTCTCCTTTCGTTTGCCGGTTATTAAACTCTTGATATCACACAGCATACAAGTGCTGACATGGCATACCAGCTGCTGACATGGCATACCAGCTGCTGACATGGCATACCAGCTGCTGACATGGCAGGGAACCATGCGAAGTCATAGATGGTCTCTCCCTCCCTGACCATCACTGCCGGTGCCAGCGAATCTGACGGGGGAGAGAAAGGGGGGAGGAGCGATGGCGGCTAGAAGAGGGGAAGAGACGTGGGGAGGGAATGGGGGGAATAGACGGGGGCAGCCCGTGGGGAGGGGGATGGGGGGAGTAGACGGGGGCAGCCCGTGGGAAGGGGGATGGGGAGGAGAGGGAGGAGTGAGGAGGGACAGGTGGGTAAGAATTGTGCCATAATGACGTCAGCATGTGCAGTGCGTTGCATGTGAAGGAATGGAATGGAGTGCATGCATATGATTGAATTGAACGGAATACATGCATGAGTGTTGAGCACACCTCGGTGGGGCAGTGTGGCCTCATCGTTCATGTCAAAGGGGGCAGATGACGCCAGCATGATGTCAGCAGGGCTGAAGGAGCGGTGAGCAGGAAGGAAGCAGAGAGTAACAAACCAGATATGTTACCAGAGGATTACATTAAAAGAATGAATGGAGAGAGGAAGGGGGCAGAAGCACGAGAGGTACAACATGGCAGGGCGGGTCAAATCCGCTGGTCACCATTGCCTCGGCTGAGCTTTGAGGCGCCTCAAAAGTACAACATGGCAGGGTGGGTCAAATCCACTCCACTGGTCACCATTGCCTCGCTGAGCTCCACGCTCCAACTTGATTCGTTGGCATTGGTCCATACAGAGGGTGCACAAGATCACAGATATGTGTGGGTACACAAGAGCACAGGACGGCATGTCATGGTGTGGCATTGCAATGGCATGGCATGGCATAGTACGGCATGATGTGGCATTGGGATGGCATGGCATGTCACGTACAGGTCAAAGAGGCGCAGGCAGCAATCCTCGCTGGAAGCCAATAGACACGTGCCATCTGGCGACCTGCCATGCCATGCCATGCCACACAGCAGGAACAACAAACGCCAGTTGGGATGGATGGCAACCCGATGCATTCTGAAAGGCAAGCAGCAATGGCTACAGCGCATGATGTGAAACAGTTCTTGTCATATACCAGAGCTCGTTGGGAGTGTAGCAAGAACCAGGTTCGAAGAGGCAACCTGGGCCACCTGGTTAAGGCTTAGAATGGCCAGGCTTACAGACAGGAACACCTCACCACTTCACGCCCTTGAGAAAGTTCCCAGAAGGGTCCACTTGTCGTCGGCTCTGCACCACACGCTCACACCCAGCCTTCCGCTTCCTGCCCGCTGCACTCCCCTCCACGCACCCCCGCCCTCCGCTTCTTCCGGCTGCCACGTCAGCCGCCACGTCGGCTGCCACGTCAGCGTCCGCGTCAGCGCGGAAGCACTGCCAGATCAGCGCGCGACAGGCGGGAGCGGGCTGCGAGAACTGCAGCAGCGGCCAGTCCGCAACCGCAGGCGTCTCTCCCGCTCCCTCCATCCCCTCCGCGTTTCCTGCCGCATCCAACGCCGTCCCCCCTGTTGCTGCATCCGTCCTCTCTCTTGCTCCTTCCGCCCCCTCCCCTTCGCCTCTTTCCTCCCCTTCCCTTACCACTGTCATCGAAGCTTCTTCTCCTCGTCTTTCCGCCGCTTCGCCTCCCACCTCCCCTTCGGCTGCTTCCCTTCCTTCCGCTCCTTCCGCTCCTTCCGCTGGTCCTGCTTCATGCATTCCCCCCTCAACTCGACTATGTATCTCTTCGATCGCTCCCATTCTACATTGTGGGTCGGTTGGGGTGACTTGATTGGCCGACGGATGCACAGGTTCGGTAGCAATCAGGGTTGACATGACAGCCACACATAGGTGTTGACGATTGCGTAACCTAGACGTGAATAAAATGCGACAAAATTGAGTTCCTTGCGCGAGTGGGTCGCTAGGAGAGCCCGAATCGAGTGGGTTACTATTGTGTGTCGGTCCTTCAGCGAGTTGTATTCTATCGCGTAAAATTTCGCTGGCCAAACCGTTCACATTCTCTGACCGTACTGCACCGTAAAAAAGTTGCAATCAAACAAAACCAGCATGAAAGAGAGGAGGTAAACTAGACCGCTTTGCATCGCTCAAACTTCCCACGAATTCTGTACACACACTTGGTGTTTGCAATCATATATTTTTGCCTTGAAATTCGATATTGCTACTCTTACAGCGCGGACAAGACAGCAGCTGCTTCCCCTCCATCACCTCCTCGGCAATCCCAATGGTGGTGTTTGCCGTCCAATCAAGTCGAGGGCTGTTCGCCTGTGCGAATTCGAGTAACCAGTCGCAACGCAAGCTCGCCTCGTGGCAACGAGCTGCATTCTGAGACGTCTCGAAGCCAGTCGAGTAACCTCCTTGGCGTAGTGGCTTTCCTTCGCGTAGTGCTGGAAGGCAGCGAAATCGTCGCAAGGCCCCATCGCTTGGACCTGCGGGACTTTGCGAAATTCCTTCGCTGACGCGGATGAGTGGTAGCGGCCCGTGATGCGTTTTGAGAGCGAAACAGACGCGCGAGTCTTAATTGATGCATAGGAAGTTGTCGCCGAACCACAGTAGCCACCTTCGCCAACGTCGCTCAATAAGTGATTCCGAACATTGCGGGAACACCCCTTGTGACTCCCTGATTCCCGAGCAGTCGAGTAGCGGAAGGTCGAGCGGCTTCAACCGCGGGAGAGTCACCATGGTGAGCGTGCTACAAGTTGGTCCTTCCAGAAATATTTTTGTATATGAAAGATCAAACAAGATCGTCCAGGCTTCGTTTATCGCACAAGATTCTTATATGAGGCATCTCTTCGCTCTTGGCCTTTTCGTTATCGTATCCAATTCGCTCAATCCGCTCCGTGAAAAGCATTGTTTCGTTCCCGTTTTTTCATCCCTCCCCCCTTTTTTTTTCCTCCCTCCCCTTTCTCCTCCCCGCTGTTCTCCTATCCTCCCCTGGTCTCCCCATCCGCTAGGGTTTCAACGAGGAGCAGCCAATGAGCGGCCAAGGCCAAACCTCGGATCACTCTCTTCTGCTCGGCCCCTCAACCACCTCCGCTTCCTCCTCCCACCCTCCGCTTCCCACGCCATACCCTTCTACTGCTGCTGCTGCTGCTGGTGGTCCCAATGGTGCCGCTGCTGCCCCCCCTCCGCCTTTCCCATTCCCCCCGCCTCTCTCCCCCTCCGCGCCGTTCTTCCAAATGCCTCCCCCCGCGCCTTCGTTCCTCCCGTTCTCCCTCTCCCTCCCATTCACCTCCCTCCTCTCTCCCTCGCACCAAATCGGCGTTCCTCTGCCGGCCAGCGCGCCGTTTCCCCCGCAGCCCTACTCGCCGCACTCCCCCACGCCGCTCATTGGAGCTGACGTTGAAGCCGCAGTTGCGGCAGCAGCAGCAGCTGCGGCAGCAGCAGCAGGGGGGACAGCAGGGGGAGCAGCAATGGGGACGCCAGTGTCGTATCCTGGTCTCGCCCAGCCCATGGGCACGCGAGTGCTCTTCTCCCGCTCGCCCACGCTCCTCCACTTCACCATCCCTCCCCAGCACTTCTCCCTCAAAGCGCTTCCCGAAATCATATTCGCCCTGGTGAGCTTGACTCTGTCAAGTAAGCTCCTCCCTCCCTCCCTAAAGCGACTTCTGATTCAAAGTCACCTATCAAGTTTTCCTCGCTATAGCGGGCTTTGAGTTTACTCAAAATCCAGTCATCCTCCATTGTCATCACGTTTCAATATTCATAATACATTTTTGCGCACTTCGTTTCTTACGCCCCTTTACTTTCCCTTCATTACATTCTTTTCGTCCCCTTCTTCCTCCCTCTCTCCTGTCTCCTCCCCCTCCCCTTCGTCACCCCCCTCCCCTTCCCCCACACCTCAACATCCATGCCCGCTCAATTCTGGACGGCCTCTGTTGCCTTTTGAACATCCGCAGCAGCAGCAAACATGCAGTTGCAATCCCTCCCTTTTGAGTCGACTCAAAAGTCAGCAGCAAACATGCTGTCTCAATCCCTCCCTTCCTGCCGTTAAGTTATCCAATCCGTTCCCGTCCTTCCTGCCCTTCCCAATCTTCCCACCACCCACGATCCCTGCCATCGCAGTTCTGGACGGCCTTTGTGGCTTTCTGGACATCCACAGCACCACCAAACATGTTGCCTCAATCCCTCTCTTTCCCGCTCCTCTCCCTCCCAATCTCCCCTCCCCACCACCCACGATCCCTGCCATCGCAGTTCTGGACGGCCTTTGTGGCCTTCTGGACATGCACAGCACCACCAAACATGTTGCCTCAATCCCTCTCTTTCCCGCTCCTCTCCCTCCCAATCTCCCCTCCCCACCACCCACGATCCCTGCTATCGCAGTTCTGGACGGCCTTTGTGGCCTTCTGGACATGCACAGCACCACCAAACATGTTGCCTCAATCCCTCTCTTTCCCGCTCCTCTCCCTCCCAATCTCCCCTCCCCACCACCCACGATCCCTGCCATCGCAGTTCTGGACGGCCTTTGTCGCCCTCTGGACATCCACAGCACCACCAAACATGTTGCCTCAATCCCTCTCTTTCCCGCTCCTCTCCCTCCCAATCTCCCCTCCCCACCACCCACGATCCCTGCTATCGCAGTTCTGGACGGCCTTTGTGGCCTTCTGGACATGCACAGCAGCATCCTCTGGAGCTCCTGTCTTCTTCATTCTCTTCTCCATTCCCTTCTGGGCTGTCGGCATTGGGTGCGTTACATATACATTCGGTTCAAGCCGTGTCCCTTTGAATTGGTCCGCATTTTTTTTTTTCCTTTGCACATAGGACATGAAATTTAGAATATGAAATATGGAGTATGAACGGACACTGTCGTTCTCTTTGGCCATCCTGATACAACTGATGCCACTGTCCGTTCATATATTTTTAGTATATATATTTTCTCTCTATGTCATGCCGAATAACCAGGCAGTCTTCTGTAACCCCCCCCCCCCCCCCCCCCCCCCCGCCACACCTCCCCTTCTTCCCTAACCACCCCCCTCCGCAGCAGAAGGCTGGAGGGTTTGGTGTCAGCCCCAGATATGTCTTTCTAACTGGCTCACACTGTGACACCTGACCTTCCAGCCTTCTGCTGCAATTTGAGCCTACTCAAAATTCTCCACCAACTACCCTTTCCTTCCACAACGCCCCAGATTTGTTCTCATTGGCTGACTGACACCAGTCTCCAGACCCTCCAGCCTTCGGCTGCACTCAATACCTTGGGCAAATCTTGGGTCAAGTGGTTCCTGTCCTGCTCTGACCATGCCACCAGTCACGCCCCACGACCTTATAAACACTGACACCTCTCCCCACCTCGCACCATCCTCTTCCCATCCTCCCCCCTCCCCCTCCTCCGCGCCAGCCTGCTTGCCCACTTGCTACTGCGGCACATCATGGACGAAACGGTGACTGCCATACTCCCATCTAATCATCACAGACTCTCACCTGATCATCACACGCCTCGCTTCCCCCCCACCCCCTCTTTCCCACATCCCTCCCCCTCCTCCTCGCCAGCCTGCTAGCCCACGTGCTACTGCGGCACATGATGGACGAAACAGTGACTGTCATAGTCTCAACGAATCGTCACACGCCTCCCTGCCCCCCATCCCCTCCTCTCCACCTCCCCTTTCCCCCTTCCCCGCCAGCCTGCTTGCCCACGTGCTACTGCGGCACATCATGGACGAAACAGTGACTGTGGACCCCGCCACGTGTCAGCTGACCATTCGTCGAGCGGTGAACGGGCAGAATCTACCGTACTTTGGCCTGTCCACCACGCACACTGCTCTCATCCACGGCGCAGGAGTCAACTACACCATGCAGGTATTGTTTTGATCTTGTTCTTGTTCTCGTACTCTCTTGTACCTTGAGGAAACAGAGTCTGCATTCATTTGGCCTGTCCGCGGCCCACACTGCTGACTCATCCACTGCTCTCTCTCACACCAGCTGCACCGTGCGTTTCTTCATGGCCCATGGTTGGTTCTTACTTGCACCAAGCACTGCAAATCCGCTGCTGCCATGGAGTTGCAGTCCACTTCACCATGTATATATATATACATACACACCTATATATATATGTATGTATGTATATATGTGCGTATTTGTATATATACATGTATCTTCTGTTACCCCTGATGCAATGCGTTTTGCTTCAGAAGGTTGCGCAACGACTTGGATCTGCCAGAAAATTGCCCGTTTCTTGCGTCCCAACTTCCTGCCTGCAGCACCATCAGCACAACTCATGGGAGTACAGCCACCACTATCACCACCACCACTCTTGCTTCAGAGATTTCTATTTGATTGAAGATTTCCCTTTGATTGAACATTTCCCATTTCTTCCACCCAACTCCCCACCTGCAGGATCACCACCATGACTCATGGGAGTACGGCCACCACTATCACCACCACCACCACCACTCTCCACCAACCACGTTCTGCCAGCTCACCATGGCGGGCGGCGAGACACTCTCCTTCGGCTCTCGCTTGTCGCTAGCAGAGCAGCGCTGGCTCTCCCTCCACGTTGCCTCCTTTCTGCAAGTTCCCTGGTTTCAGCCACCCTTTCTGCAATCGTATTGACCCAACATTGTTAGCTCCTGTACAGTGTTGTTCCATGCCACTTACAAGCAGAGAAGCAATGGCTGTCTCTCTCAACATCGCATCCTTTCTGCAAGTACCCTGGTATCAGCTTCCCTTTCTGCATGCGTATTGACCCAACACTGTTAGCGTCTGTACAGCGCTGTTCCTGCCAAGTACATTGGCCGGTACACAATTAGGCAAAACCATGTCAGCAGTACTGCCTCTGTGCATGCTGTAGCAAAGCAGTACTAAATGCCACTGGTGGGTGGGTGTCTCTCCACACTTCTGCAAGTGCCCTGGTTTCAGCTACGATAATGGGGGCGTGTCTGCCAACACTACTTTAATGACCCATTTTTTGCAATGAATCTGGATTACAACCCCCTCTGTTTTATGTATAGGAGATTACAAATCAGATCCCTTTTTCTACTTTCAGCATGTATGCCTCCTCATCATGCACATTGTACCCCTCTATCAGCTGTTTATTCACGCTATGTATCTTCTCCTTCACTGCCTTGGCCGGTTTCCTCGTGTCTCTCCCACCTCTCCTCCGCCTCACATGCACCAAGGGAGCATCTACCGTATTACCCCGGATAGTAGCGCATATGCGCTTATAATAAAATCAAGTTTTATAAGGGGGGCGCTTGTAAACGAGTATCGGGGATAAGCGCATGCGCCTGTAAGAGGGAAAAATGAAATTTGTTTTTTTAAGTACCGAATTGAAGCTCTCTGTAAGGCGAACATAACCAAACGTTCGATCACGTGGTTTCGTGCACGAGTTTCAGGGGAAACCAACCGCGATTCGGGTTCGGGGTTCACCTTCACGTCCAGAAGCAACGAACCTGCCGTTGCTGACACGAATCCTGCCGTGCGGTCCAATGGCGTGCTCATGCGCCGATTCCACCCGAATCCTCTAGAAGGGGGTGGAATCATTCATGCCAGCACTGACGCGTATCCTGCCGTGCGGCCCAATCACAGCGTCATGCGCTGCTAGGCAAGCAAATTCCACCCGAACCCTCTAGAAGGTGGTGGAATTCGCCATGCCATCGCAGCGTCGTGCACGCCACGCATGGTCCTCTGCGGGTGTAGGCGGGGGTTTCCTGCTTGTCATCGTCGAGGAACTCGAGGCGCCAAAGAGAAGGGGTCCCTCCCAACTCCATTTCAATCCTCATTCTTGCACATTCTAACCACAGTTTTCGTTTCTCTCCCGCCAGGCTGCTTCAGCCATGGCGGAATTCTCAGGCACCCATTTCCTCTTCAAGAACAAGCCTAGGAAGCCCGCTTTTACCGTTAGCGCTGACGGGTGGTACAGCCGTGTCGCACCTGATCCCCCCGAACCTCCACAGCCTCCTGCGCCTCCTATTCCCCCTGCTCCTCCTGCTCCTCCGTCACCTCCCGCGCCTCCTGCTCCTCCGAATCCTCCTCCTCTGGAAACCTTAGGCAACCTGCCCGTGCTCCGGATTTGCCCGTATCTCCCTCGGACGTTCACCGAATGGCTGGAAGAGCCTGTCAGAGACAAGCCTCAAGGTGAATCCGCGTCGGCACCACGCTGGGGCGAGCCCGGAAACTGCGCGTGGGACGAATCTGCTGTGGGCGCTGACGACGAAGTGGAAACCGAGGGCGCGGAGGGCGACAAGGCCGGCGGGGCGGACAACGAGACCGCCACAGAGGCTGGCATCGAGGCGGGCACGGAGGCCGATGTGTTCCCCGAGGGTGCTGTGGGCGGCGATGACAGCGACGGAGTGGAATACTGGTCGCGCGACGGCCTTCCTGAAAAATTGCCCATCCCTTCCTACCCACCGATTAACCGCAAGCGTCCCCACCCATCTTCCCAGAACCGAGATGCCCGCCCTCCCTCTCCCAGGCACAGGATGACGCAGCACAAGCGAAAGGCCTACACAGCCCAAGAGAAATTGAAGTGGTGCGCGCTCATGGAAGTGGCGGTTTCGGTCCGCGCGCTATCACGTGAATCTGGTATCCATCGGAAGTGCCTGACGCAGTGGATGAAGGAGGCCGCCATCCTCAAGGATGCTCACGACGCTCGCATGCGGATGCACGGTCGCGGCAGAGCTTCTTGGTACAGAGCCATGGAGCTGAAGGTCTATGCGAGGCTGCTGGAGTGGCGGCGCAAGGGATGCGCGGTCTCTGTCGGTCGGCTGCAGGAGTGGTCGCACGAGTTTATGAAGCTTCTGTTCCCCGACGTCAAATGGAAGGGCAGTCAACGGTGGTCGGACCGGTTTCGGCGGTGCTGGAACTTGAGCGTCCACATGAAGACGAAGGTAGCTCAGAAAACTGCCGCACGTAAGTGGTTCGCTCTGTTGTTTCACCGTTGGTTTTCTTGGTTTTATGACATCTGGTTTAATATCCGTAACCTCTTCCACCCCTTACCTTTGTTACACAGATGTCGCGGAGTAGTGCGAGAAATTCTGGGAGTTCGTCCGTAACAACCGACGTGAGCGCGGGATTGATACGGCGTGGATTATTAACGCCGACCAAACGCCGCTGTGGCTGGAGATGCCCGCCACCACCACCGTGGATCAGAAGGGAGTTCGCTCGGTGCCCATCAGGAGCACGGGTTACCAGAAGCAGCGAGTAACCGTGATGTTGGCGTGCACTGCTGACGGGGTGAAGCTGAAACCATGGGTCTTCTTCAAGCGCAAGACGGTGCCGAAGGGGGATTTCCCGACGGGTAAGACATCCTTGCCTATTCATGTACTCATGTTTGATGTCGTCGCAGTTTAACATGCGTAGTTCCTTTTATTGCGTGCGCAGATGTGGTGGTGGGGTGCCAAGACAACGGCTGGATGGACGCCGATGGCGTCGCGAAGTGGCTTGACGGGTGTATCAAGCCTTTCATGAAGCCCCGGTTCGGCAGGCAGGCGAAGAGCGCGATGCTCGTTCTGGATTCTTACCGCGGGCATCTCACGGACGAGGTGAAGAAGAAGTTCGCCGAGCTCAACATCGTCCCGGCTATCATCCCAGGAGGTTGTACGGCGGAGGTACAGCCGCTCGACGTCTCGGTCAACAAGAGTTTCAAAGCCTTCGTCCGCCAGCAGTACCAGAGCTGGTTTGAGGAAGAAGGCTTGGAGAGGCTCACCAAAGCAGGTATGGTTTGGCCTTGTTGTTTAACGTCTAGCAGTTTTGTCCTCTCCCTTTGTTGTTCTAATCACCCCCGTGAGTGCCATGTGGTGCAGGGAATCTGAAGAAGCCGCCAGCAGAGGTGGTTCTCAGGTGGATCTCCAGGGCCTGGAAGGCAGTCCCCGCCGAACTTATCAAGAAGGCGTTTCTAACATGCGGCATCAGCAACGCACTAGACGGGAGCGAGGAGAATCTCACTATGGCGCACAGGAGGAGCCAGCTCACGCACGAAGTGGACGTGGACGACGACATCACGGCCGACGGCTTCTGGGGCAACAACTGCCCGGACCCTGAGTCAGACGAAGATGAGGAGACGTGCTAGGGGCTGTAAAGCCGTGCAATAGCTTGAATATACGTAGTGATTGTATGCTCAGACCGTGCTAGTGTAATCATTAGAACATTATGTTGTCTTTGCGAGTACTAGCTAGATGAATTGTGGTTAGATAAAACTAAAAAATAAAAGATAAAACTACCAATACCGAACAAGGGGGCGCTTATAATAAGTACAGGTTTCACAAGGGGTGCGCTTCTATAAGCGCCTGCTCCAGATAGAAGCGCCGGCGCCTTTAAACGGACGGCGCTTATATCCGGGGCTATACGGTATCAACCTCGCCCCTTTCCTCTCCCAGTAAAACGTTTCATTGATCATGCAATATAATCCCAATAATGGGTAGTTGTGTTTCAAGGTTGCCAGGGTCTGTCCATCAGAACCTTCACTTGGAAAGAAGAGAACTTGCAGGTTTGGGGCCTTGATGGAAGGAGGGGTCATCAGCATGTCCGGGTCCGGATCGTCGGCATATCCAGTCCCATCGAGAGACTCTCGTTCATCCAGCATATTGAATCGATAAACGTCCTCCACGGAAGTCTCCCGATCCTTTTCAATCTCCCCACCATAATCGTCCCGTTCCGTGTACTGTACGACAATCCCAAGGCTGCGCAGGCTAGTCCACTCCACAGTCAATTTAGTGAAAGGGACCTCGTGCTCTATTATAAGCACCTCCACTGTAGGCGCAACTGTGTTAAGCCAGCTCATCCAAGAGAGCTCTGAGCTGGCACTGGGAACGTCCTGCCAGTGTGAAGGTGGCTCGGTGGAGAATTCTCCGAGGGAATGGTACCCGGCATATCTTGCGGGAGCATTCAAGTAGATCACTCTGGCAGATGCGAAGCAGAGGAGAGATGCGCGGAGTTCGGAACGGGCATAGAGAATGAGCTGGTGGAGAGAGAGAGGGGTGTCTGAACGACAGGTGAGCTTGACATATCCACCCATGACAGAGAGGGTCGTGAGGGAGGGTGTGAGGTTGAGAGTTAGAATGAGTTTCGTGTCCTGGAAGAGGAAGCGGAGAATGCGTGCGTTGGAGAAACTGAAGCAGTGGCTGATGGTGCCAAACTGGAGGAGGCCGGAGACCTCGTAGAGAGTAAATTCGGTAAGCTGCGGCGTGATAGCGTCCAGAAACTCATACCCCAAGGCAGTGGGATCCATAAACGCGAGGGTCAGACAGCGCAGCGAATGTATCCACGCTGCATTCGCACAACTCTCGTTCAGCTTCCACTCGCCCCGCCCCAGATTCAGCTGCTGCAGCTGTAAGCAGTCTTTCAGGAATCCCAGTGCGAAACCCTTGCGATCCAGCAAATAGTCTTGGACATGCAACTCCAGATCCAGCGATGTGAGAGAGGCGCTGGAGCGTGCAACGAGGGGTCCCAGGGTGCGCAGGTGCTCTGGTGTGGTGAAGCGCAGGTCAAGGGAGTGGAGGCCGGGGTGGTGGAGGAAGAAGCGGAGGTTGTCCATCCACTGCGGGTACTGATGGTAGCAGATGAGCGAGATGGGCTGACTTTCCTGCAGTGACATAACACCAGACCTCTGACAATGCGTTCTTAAGAAATATATGGAGGTCTTGGGCTTGTGGTGACATCAATTGAAAATCACAGTGCGTTGCTGAAACATGGTTAAAAAACAAGAAGAAACTGAATATAATAATTAAGTAAAAGGCATTGAATTTTCATTCGGAAGATGAGAGGAAGTGACTCACGGAGAAGGAGAGGACGTGCTGGAGGAGGCTTTTGCTGGCGAGAGCGCAGCACAGCAGCGGCCAGGAGGCACCGTAGTTGTCCGCATCTCTCCTGTGCCGTTCGCTACCTGTGCGGTCAGGATCCGGAGGCACTGGTAGATCGTCCGGCTGGGACGGTGGCAGCAGCAGGCGGCGGAATATGTGGTGCCAGAGGGGAGCTGGCAGCATGTCGACTGCATCTGAGAAGCGGGTTCAAGCGGGGAGACGACGAAGGGGACGGAATGGACACGGGGAGATCAGGTATGTTCTTGAGTTAACTCAACAAGAAAAGAAGGAATTGATTAGAATGGAACCAACAATCACGACATTAGCTCAGAAGTGTCAAATGGTAAAGCCAAGGGGTCGCGAGCTTGCTGGCGAGCGTCGAGCCGCAGAAGCATCACCCGAACCTTCAAATATTACAAGGGAGATTCGTTCCTTAAGCTGGAACGAGTCTCACGAGTGCAATTTGTTAAGTACGACTAGATGCAGACCTGATGCGGCGGCGTCCATTGTCTTGGTCGGGATTACGTCGACGAAAGTGAGTGAGAGCACAACGAGCCGAGAGGAAGAAAACGAGCCCCTGTGAAACTCGTCGAAAGCAACTGAAAAGGGAGAGCCGATGGATAGTGACAACCATGGCTGCGAAAAGGAACGCTTTGTGCAGTGGCTAATAAATTCCCAACTTCGAAACAACGCGCGGCGGCTTGGTTCGAGGTGAAGAAGGACGGGACCGCCATGGCTGATGTGTATGACCTGGATGGAGCTCATGCAATGTGGTCGATGTGCTTCAAATAAAAAATATTCTCGCTGGAGTCAGCGTGCGGTACGGTACAACTGCCATACGGTATGGTATGTTAGAAAATGCGACGGATGTGTGATCGCGATCGTAGACGCTTCCTTCCATGCCCTGCCATCAGTGAAATCTAGCTTGTGATAGAAGATGAAAGGAATGCTAAAGACTCATCAAAGCTGATTCTGTATTATCTTGCAATCTTGTGAATGAGGATAACCTACCAGCGAACACACTGGACCCAGCAGCAGCATCAGCAGCATTGAAAGAGGAATACAGAACTCCCTTGCCCCCCCCGTCATTCATCCCACAATATGTCAAAGTGGCAGGCTGCCGCAGGATCTGTTGGATGCAACAACTCCCTCCTCCCCCCATGCACATTCCGATTACTCCACAACCACATCACTACTTACGCTCCCTGGACATGCACATGCACATCCCCTCCTGTCCCCAACAGCAGCCATCACTCCACGGTAACAGGGTCAGCCAGCAGCACGCGTGCCGTGCCGCCCGCTCGTTCTCCCCGGCCATCATGGCCTCTCGGAACCGCTTTCGAAAATCCTCAAATGAGACTCCCAGCAGCGAATCACTCCACTCCACAGCGACATCAGCCAGTACACAGCAAGCACTACGGTACGACATGCCTCACTAACTGCAGCACCATCACTCCACAGCAACAGGGTCAGCCAGAAGCACTTGTGCCGCCCGCTCCTTCTCCCCAGCCATCATGGCCTCTCGGAACCGTGCCAGCTGGCGGTCCCTCATCTCCACCGGGGAGGGCGGCGGCGAGTCAAACGACCCGTACTGGCGCGCCAGGCTGGCAAACTCCTCGCCGCCCATCGCCTTCACCTCCACCAGCTTGTCCACTAGTGCATCCACCAGGCTGCGGTTGCGCCTCAAGATCTGGAGAGGGTGGAGGGAGGGAGAGGAGGGGGGGGAAGGGGAGGGAGGTAAGGAGAGGAGAGGGCATGGGAGATTGCCTTGCCTGAGAACTAATGCATCTACCATACTGTGCTTGCACCACAGGATCTGGATCGAGTGGGCGAAGAGAAGGGGGAAGGGGGAAGAGGCAAGGGGCAGGAGAAGGGGTATCAAACGACCCGTACTGCCGCGCCAGGCTGGCTAACTCCTTGCCGCCCATCGCCTTAAATCCACCAGCTTGTCCACTAGTGCATCCACCAGGCTGCGATTGCACCCCAGGAAATAAGGGACAGGAAAGGGAATGGGAGCTTCCCTAGCTTGTCCACTAGTGCGTGCACCGGGCTGCCATTGCACCGCAGGATATGATTCAAGGAGGGGGAGAGGGGGGCGTCAAAGAGAGGACAGTTTATGGGAGCTTGCCCAATTTGTCCACCAGTGCATCCACCCAATTTTTCAGAGGGAGAGGGGGAGCCTGGCCACTGGTGCATCTACCAGGCTACTTTTGCGCTGCAGGATCTGAGGAGGGGGAAGGAGGAGGGGGTGGGAGTGGTTGGGGGGAGAAGAGGAGGACCGGGGGGATACGGACAGGAGAGGCTATAGGAGCTTGTCCAGCTGTCCACAAGTGCACCCTACAGGCTGCGGTCGTGCTGCAGATGTATTCTGAAGAGGGAGGAGAGGAGACTGGGGTAATTTGGAAAGGGAGAGGAAAAGGGAGGAGAGGGAATGGGAGAGGGAGAGGGAGAGGGAGAGGGAGAGGGAGAGGAGAGGGAGAGGGAGAGGGAGAGGGAGAGGGAGAGGGAGAGGGAGAGGGAGAGGGAGAGGGAGAGGGAGAGGGAGAGGGAGAGGGAGAGGGAGAGGGAGAGGGAGAGGGAGAGGGAGAGGGAGAGGGAGAGGGAGAGGGAGAGGGAGAGGGAGAGGGAGAGGGAGAGGGAGAGGGAGAGGGAGAGGGAGAGGGAGAGGGAGAGGGAGAGGGAGAGGGAGAGGGAGAGGGGGAGAGGGAGAGGGAGAGGGAGAGGGAGAGGGAGAGGGAGAGGGAGAGGGAGAGGGAGAGGGAGAGGGAGAGGGAGAGGGAGAGGGAGAGGGAGAGGGAGAGGGAGAGGGAGAGGGAGAGGGAGAGGGAGAGGGAGAGGAGAGGGAGAGGGAGAGGGAGAGGGAGAGGGAGAGGGAGAGGGAGAGGGAGAGGGAGAGGGAGAGGGAGAGGGAGAGGGAGAGGGAGAGGGAGAGGGAGAGGGAGAGGGAGAGGGAGAGGGAGAGGGAGAGGGAGAGGGAGAGGGAGAGGGAGAGGGAGAGGGAGAGGGAGAGGGAGAGGGAGAGGGAGAGGGAGAGGGAGAGGGAGAGGGAGAGGGAGAGGGAGAGGGAGAGGGAGAGGGAGAGGGAGGAGAGGGAGAGGGAGAGGGAGAGGGAGAGGGAGAGGGAGAGGAGAGGGAGAGGGAGAGGGAGAGGGAGAGGGAGAGGGAGAGGGAGAGGGAGAGGGAGAGGGAGAGGGAGAGGGAGAGGGAGAGGGAGAGGGAGAGGGAGAGGGAGAGGGAGAGGGAGAGGGAGAGGGAGAGGGAGAGGGAGAGGGAGAGGGAGAGGGAGAAGAAGAGCCTGTCTACTGGTGCACCCACCTGCGCGACCCTGGTGCGGCTCATTCAGCACCCATGGAGCATCCATTAAGCACACCACTAACCGCACCCACATGAACCGCACAGTCCCAAACCCACCTGAGCGGCCCTGGAGCGGCACTCCTCAAGAATGCGGGAGGCATCGGCATCAACGGCCTCACGGCGCCACGGTGCATCCACAGCCGCCACGCCGATGCCGTACAGCGCACCCTCCTCGCTCGGCGCCGACAAACCGTTGAGCGCCACCTGGCGCGCTGTGCGGCGCGCCACGTCAGCGTGGTCCGCCCAGATGGTGCACGTCTGGCAGATGGGGATTGGTTGGAGGATGCAGGGGGGATGAGGTCAATGGGAACGGGGATGATGAATGAAGATGATGGGGATTATGGGGATAATGGGGATGATGGGTTTGGAAAGGGAGAGAACAAACCAGCTTGAGAAGCAAAACTGACTCACACCCTGCCACTAAAACTCATCCCTGCCCCACACAAATCACTCACCTCCTCGGCCCCGTTCCACATCTCATCGGCCACCATGGGGGCGAGCTGCACCGTAATCAAGTCCCTCGTTCACAAGCCTGCTCTGCTATGATATCTCATCTCATCCCATCCCATCCACTCACCTCCTCGGCCCCGTTCCACATCTCATCAGCCACCATGGGCGCCAGCTGAACGGTGATGAAGTCGCGCAGGCACGAGGCGGAGATGAAGTTGGCCTTCATCTTCTGCGTGTCCACCAGCTTGTACCGCACTGAACCCTTCTCCTCCGTCATTCGCGGCACCACCGTGATCTGAGTGAGTGGGGAGGAGAGTAAGAGGGGGAGGAAGAGTAGGAGAGTGCAGGTAAGGAGGCAAGGGGAGTTGGGGATTGACTTGCTAAGAACGAGTACGTTAAAGATGAATAGTCATCCCCCACTCTATCAGCCACCTGCCCGCCCACCCACCCACCCACCCACCCACAGCTTAACAGACCTGCTGAACATTCACTGAACATTCGCCAGCCCACCAGGTTCACTGAACAGTCACCAACCCACCAGCTGAATGTTCACTGAACATTCACCTGTCACCAACCCACCAGCTGAACGTTCACCACCCTGCAACCCACCAGCTGAATGTTCTGGAAGTCGCGGAAGTTGAACGCCACCACGGCCAGCGCCGCCTCGTTGAGCGCCAGCTGGCGCTGCCTGATTGGACTGCCCTCGTGGGGCGAGGGGTACCCCCCCTCCTCCAGCATGGCGGCCTGCAGCATGTCGTCCGTTGTGATCTGATGGGGGAGAGGGGGAAGGGTGCGGGATGCGTGGAGGCGTTTGGAGGATGGGGGTTGCGGGGTGGGGGCCGGGTACCGCCCTCCTCCAGCATGGCGGCCTGCAGCATGTCGTCCGTTGTGATCTGATGGGGAAGGGGGCGGGATGCGGGGGAGCGGGAGAGAGGGCAGGGGAAGGGGATGGATGGAGGGAAGTGGGCAGCATGCGGGTGCCCCCCATTCCCCCAGCATGGCCGCCTGCAGCATGGCGTGCGTCGTGATCTGATGGGAACAGGGGAGGGAAGGGGACAGGGAGGGGGAAGGAGGAGAGGAGGGGGAGGGCCAAGGTTGAGTGGAGGCGTTTGGAGGGTACGTGAAGGGGGAGGAGTACCCCCCCTCCTCCAGCATGGCCGCCTGCAGCATGGCGACTGTGGTGATCTGATGGGAACAGGGGACGGAAGGGGAAAGGTTTGGGGGAAATGGATGAGGGGGAGAGGGAAGGGGCTGGGGATGGGTGGAGGGTACGTGAGAGGGGGGGTGTGCCCACGGATGGGTCCTTCCTGCATGGCCATGCATGCACCTCGCGCCTTGCATGTCAAGATGATGCACCTCATATATCCCACACCACGAATGACTGTGCAGCAGCTGTTTTGATGCACCACACATCACCGCACATCACCGCACATCACCACCCACCACACATCACCACCCTCCGCACATCACCATCCATCACCATAGACGAGCATTGCACAGCACCGCTCACCTCGGATCGGTTCTCCCGCAGCACTCTGAGCGCCGCCACGTCAACAACGTTCGCCAGCTCAGCGCCCGACATGCCATCTGTCACCTGCGCCACCGCCTCAAAGTCCACGTCATCATCCAGCACCTTGTTGCGGCTGTGCACCTGCGTGGAAGGACGGAGAGAGAGGGGTGTGTGATTATAAGGAGTGTGATATTGGAAGGCAGTAACTTTTGAGTTGACACCAAGTCATGATCCCGCACCTCAGGGTGTTTTTGAGAATTCTCAAAAACACCCTGCAGCATCGTTGACACCAAGTCATCATCCCGCACCTCGCTGTGACTGCACACCTGTGAGGGGGACGGAGAGAGAGGGGTGTATGATTTTAGAAACTGTGATTGTTGCTGAGGCTATGAACGTGAGTGAGGGAAAGGAGCGATTGCAGAGGGAGTTGGTGGCATTATTCATTATGCAATCCTCCACATGGCCCACCTTAGAAAAGCCTATTCTGAGTTAAACACAAACACACCTTCATTCTCCCTGCCTTGATCCTCTCAAACATCCCACCACCTACTAACCAACAACGGCAGACATCTCATCCGAGGTGGTCGGGACTCAGCAAACCACAAGCGCTCTCACCTCAAGAATCTGGGCTCGCCCCTTGAGACTCGGCTTGGGGATGTAAATCTTCCGGTCGAACCTGCCCGGCCGCACCAGGGCAGCGTCCAAAATATCCGGCCGGTTGGTGGCTGCTATGGTGATGACGTCACCTCTGCCCTCGAAGCCATCCAGACACGTCAGCAGCTGTTGGGGTGGGAGGGAGACAAGACACGCATTTTGCAAAGAGCCGATGTGATGTGTGGGAGTAGTAATGAGAGGCGGCGATTCAAATGGGCAATGACAACCGCAGGTGAAGAATGGAAAGAGAAGGAGAGGCGAGTACGTGGGAGAGAGAAGTCACGTAGTCGCGAACGAATCAATGCCACGTAGTCGCAACGTGACTAAGAAGGGAAAGAATCACATTTTGCAAACAAGGGAATGCAATGCCGGGCGTAGGCGGAAAGTGAATCGCCTTGGTTAAAGCACAGAGCTCCGCCGGGCTCTGCTTGAGCAATATGCGGCACGGCAGGAACTGCTTGAGCAATATGCGGCACGGCAGGAACTGCTTGATCAAACATCTCACCCTCCTCCCCTCCATGCCCACGTTCACATGCACCCCTCTCCTGTCCACCAGACCCCTCCGTGAGTGGCCCACGAAGCTCATCCCAGCACGCACACTCACAGGCCCACACCACACCCACCTGGTTCAGAGTAGCGTCTCGCTCCTGCCCGCCCGAGCCCTCCGTCAGACCCCTCTGCCGTCCCACCGCGTCCAGCTCATCAATAAACACCACCGAGGGCGCGTTCTCCCTGGCTTCATTGTACAGCGCGCGCACGCGGCTGGCCCCCACGCCCACGAAGATCTCCACGAACTGACTCGCCGACACCGAGAAGAAGCTCACTCCCGCCTCTCCTGCCACTGCTTTCGCGAGTAAAGTTTTCCCGCTGCCCGGCTCGCCGCAGAGCAGGATGCCCGAGGGGATCTTGGAGCCGCGGCGGCGGTACTTCTCAGCCGACTGGAAGAACTCCACCACTTCCTCCAGCTCGCGCCTGATTTCACCGAGCCCGGCTACATCCGAGAACTTCACCTCTGCACTCATGTCCAGGTACGTGGGGCGACGCGTGCGCTGGGATGGGATGGGCAAGAGTGGGATGGAAGGAGGGGGTTTGGGGGGAGGGAGGAAGGGAGAGAGAGGGGATCTTGGAGCCGCGGCGGCGGTACTTCTCGACGGACTGGAAGAACACCACCACTTCCTCCAGCTCTCGCCTGATCTCACCCAGACCTGCGACGTCGGAGAACTTGACCTCTGCACTCATGTCCAGGTACGTGGGCCGGCGCGTGCGCTGGGATGGGAGGGATGGCGAGGAGGGGAAGGGAAAGGGGATGGATGGGAATGGGATGAGATGGATGGGACGGAACGAGGGGGTTCAAGGAAAGAGAGGGAGGGAGAAATAGGTACTTCTCGGCGGATTGGATTGGAAGAAGTCCACTCCACCACCTCCTCCAATTCGCGCCTCATCTCAACCTGCCCAGCCACGTCGGAGAATTTGACTTCGGCTCAGGTCCAGGTATGTGGGGCGAGATGACTTTTGAGTCGACTCAAAAGGTATGTGGGGCGAGATGACTTTTGAGTCGACTCAAAAGGTATGTGGGGCGGCGCGTGCGCTGGGAGGGAAAGACGGATGACGACGGGGGGGGGGGGGGGAGGGGGGGGGGGGGGGGGTTGGGTTTGAGGAGAGATGGGAGGAAGAAGGCGACGCCCTTTTTGAGAAGGATTGATTGAAGGGACTGAAAGAACTCCACTCCACCATCTCCTCCAGCTCACGCCAGATCTCCCCCAGCTCAGCACCATGACATGAAAAGGCTTCACTTGGGCGCTCAGGTCCAGATAGGTTGGGCGGCGAATGCATGCGCTGGGAGAGCGACGGGGAGGGATGGAGAGCGATGGGAAGAATGGGAGAATGGGATGGAGCAAGGGGTTCGGGGGTAAGTTTGTATTTTTTTTGTGGTCGTTGTTGCGGTAAATTTGGGTGGAGGGTGGAGGTGTGGGGGTGTGGGGGCGTGGGGGTGCAGAGCGAGTTTAGATTACCAGCACTCACTGGGAGTGTTTTTTGAGAATTCTCAAAAAACACGCACTCACTGGGCACTCTCATGTGAGCAAGATTCAGTGAATGTGACAGTACTTTCTTCTCTTCCACTCACCTTGCCGGCGCGGCGCCCCACCCCAACTCAACCTTCCCCTCCCTCCCTCCCCGCCTCCTCACTTTCCCCTTGCGAACACGCCGCCGCACATTAGCCCCGGAACGCATGAAGCGCATGCTAGCCTGAATCGTAAGCAAGCAAGCAGAATCGTAAGCAAGCATGGAGCACTCTCTGAACTTCCACTCACCTTGCCCCTCTCCCCGCCCCTCTTCCGCCCCCTCCATCATCCCTTCCCCTCCCTCCCCCTTCTCACCTTGCCCTTGCGAGCGCGCCGCACTTTAGCCCCGGACCGCATGAAGCGCATGCCGGCCAGAATCGCCTGATTCTTCTCCTCCTCCACCTTCCCTTCCCCTTCCCCCTCGCCCTTCCCATCCCCTTCCTTCTCCCCTGCAACCACCACCCCAGCCTTCTTCCCTCCCTTCTTCTCCTTCTCTTTCTCCCGCTCTGCCTCCTCCTCCTCCCTCGCTTCCATCTCTTCCATGTCCTCCTCCCACCCCTCCATCTTCCTCCTCTCCTCTTCCGCCGCCCGCTCCAACTTGATCCGATCCTCGTAATCCTTCCGCTTCTTCTTCACGTTCACGATGATCCCAAAGTAGAAAAAGACGAAGAACGCCGCCCCGATCAGGAACCGCACGCCCTCGTTATTGGCCGCCTGTTTGTAGAACGAACCCCAACGCTCCTGATTGGCCACCTGTGCCACTAGCTTCTTTCTCCTCGCCTCCACGTTTTTCTCCTCTGCTCCCGCTCCCCGTTTCTTCGCTCTCGCCCCCCCCTGCTTCTGCTCCTGCTCCTCCTGCTTCTGCTGCTCCCTCTCCTCCCTCTCCGCCCTCCTCCTCTCCTCCCTCTCCATCCGAATCCTCTCCTCTCGTTGCCTCTTAAGCTCTCTTTCCTTCTCCACCCTCCTCCTCTCCGTCTCCTTCCTCTCCTCTGCAAGTCTCCTCACCCGCTCCTTCATAGCAGCTTCCGCTTTCTGCTTTGCAGTCAACGGCTTCCCTTTCCCCTTCCCCGCACTCTCCCCCGCCCCCTCCGCTCCCCCCTTCCCCTTCCCCCCAACCCCCTCCCGCCGGCCCTCCCCTCCCCCCACCCACCCCCAGTCCTGCAGAAACTTCAAGGAAGGACCCCAGAGGCCCCAGGGCTGCATGACGGGCGGCGCGGGCGGCGGCGAGAAGGCGTTGATGGTGAGCGAATCTAGACTGAGATCCTTCCATGCCGCCCAGAAGGCGGGGTCGCGGTCGAGGGGCGGCAGCATGCAGCGCACCACTCGGTCGTCTTTAAGAACTAAGAACACTCGCTCGGGCTCCGACTGGTGAGAATGAAGACCGGGGAACGGGGAAGAGTGGGGGTGAGGAGGGCGGTTAGATGGAGAGTGCATGCATGCATCATGCATTCAGGCAGCATGCAGCGCACCACTCGGTCGTCCCTTAGCACTAGGAACACTCGCTCTGGCTCCGACTGGATACGGGGAGGAAGGGGGGGAGAGTGTGGGGTTAAGGAGGGAGGGGGGTTAGCTGGGGCGCATGCATGCAGCGCACCACGCGGTCGTCCCTTAGCACTAGGAAGACTCGCTCGGGCTCCGACTGGTGAGGGGGAGAGAGTGTGGGGTTGTAAGGGGGGTTGGAAGGGTGGGGTGGAGGTGGTTAGATTGGGTGCGAGCAGGCAGCATGCAGCGCACCACGCGGTCGCCCCTTAGCACTAGGAACACTCGCTCGGGCTCCGACTGGATGGGGAGGGGGAAGAGGGATTGGGGAGATTGGGGGTTAGGTTCGGGGGTTAGGGTGGGGACGGAAGGTTAGTTGGGCCCTGCCCTGGGGTGCATGCATGCAGCGCACCACACAGTCCTTGAGCACGAGAAACACGCACTCGGGCTCCGACTGGGTAAAAGGTAGAAAAGGGAAGGGGGCGCGGGGAGGGGGGAGGAAAGAGGGAGGGTTGAGTGGGAATTTGAAAGAGGGTAGGAAGTGAGGGCATGTGTGCGAATATACATGTCTTGGAGCACAAGCGGCGGCAGCATGCAGCGCACCATGCTGTCGCATGGTGAGTGACACACACATGCTGCTGCACCACGGGCAGCCCACGCGGAGGAGCAGCGCTGCACTAGGCGCTTCATTGCCGCACTCACCTGCGCGCTTCATTCTCTCACTCACCTGGAGCGACGACTGAGGGTGCTTGATGATGTGCTTCAGCTCATTGGACTTTTTCAGCGCCACCACCTGCGAGTACGGCACGCGCTCCTGCACCACGGGCAGCCCGCGCGCCCACGCCTCGCGCTCCTCCACCTCCATCGTCGCTGCCTCCCGCCCCCCCTTGCGCTCCCGCCCGGACTTCTTCCCCTTGCGCTTTCCCCCCGCCGCTGCTCCGCCTGCGCCGGCCGCTGCGCCTTCCGCCGCGGCTGTTCCCCCGCCTGCCGCTGCGCCTTCCGCTGCAGCAGCTGCGGTCGTTGCTGCTTCCGCCCCTACAACCTCAGAAGCTGCTGCCGCCGCGTTTGCCACGGATGCTGCTGCATCCGAACCGCTAGCTGCAGACGGCGCAGCTGGTGCTGCTGGGGGTGCTACAGCCGGTGCTGCAGCCGGTGCTACAGCCGGTGCTGTTGCCGTTTTTGACGGGGCTTTCAACACCGCAGAAGCGGCGTGAGCTGGTAGCGACGCCACCAGCTGTGCACCAACCATCGCCATACACGTGGCAGCTAGCAAAACGCCGGACAGTGGGAATGATTCTTCCGACGAACCTTCCACATTCTGACTGCTGATGCTGTTTTCCCGCTCAATATCCGCGTCGCTAAAATCTCCCGCCTGATCCACGTGTACAGGGCTTGCTGGCTCGGACGCACTACACCGTACCCTAAACCTCGTCGATCTCACTCCAATCCCTGCGCTGCGCACGCCACGTGGCAAAGAACTATCGGATGGACAATTCCGCGTCCACGGGGAAGAGCTGCCAGCGTGGCATGGCCTGATAACGAATGGCGACGATGAAATCCGGGATCTTATATTCCCTCGAACCTGCTCCTGCTTATGCTGCACGGACGCGGGGTTAACGGCGCCGATCGCGCTCACGGGTCGGACACCCGAGACGGCGACGAGTCCATTCGATCGCTGAGAATTCGAGACGGCATTGCAAGAGGATGCCTGACGTACGCTCGAGGTAATGGAGTGCTGCGAAGGCGACAGCGACGGGAGTCGGGTCGCACGGCAGCTCTGGCTGATCGCGCACCTGTCCATGATGACGCGACTCGGCGACGGCGCGTAGGATCCTACAGGCTACAGGTGCGGGTGATGGTGAGCAGCTTATTCTACGGATTTCGCAAGCTACGCTGCCATGGACGTGAGTGCATCAATAACGACGGCCGAGAGTCACTCGCGCGAGCCAGAGAAGAATTGTGTCCGACGCTCGACGCTACGCAATCAGCGGTAGGATCGGCGTGCAGCATCAGCGATGCTGCTTTTTTCTCCTCGTAACGCGGTGCTGCGGAGACGGCGCGAAATGCGGACGGGAAAAGGGGAGGGGGGAAGAGAAAGCAGAGGAGGAAGCGGTAGGCGCCTTGGGATTGGTTTGTGGCGATTCTTCGCGCTGATTGGCCGTTGGGGGATTGGTTTGGGCTGCGGAAATGGTTGGTTGGTCACTGGTCAGCAAGAGAGTGGTCTTCAGTTGAAGGACGATACTGTGGCGTGGTATGATGTGTTTCCGTGTGTTTTGGTGCGATTTGGTGTGGTGAACTTTGGATCCATAGTGCTAACACAAGATAACAAACTGTTGCCTAAATAATTAAATATAAGGAATGCAGGTCGAATCAAGGACTATACCGAGGCTGTCCATATCATGCGGGCATTTCACTAAGACACCTGGGCGAGCACATAGCTTGCCGTCCATTCTAATGGGGTATACAGCTCGTTTGCTCTTGTACATTCTTTGCGGTCTCATGCGTTTCGTCGCGTGAAAGTCGTTAAACGAAATTTCCGCTTTCCACCACGCGGAACCGTTCCGAGCCACGAAGCATGAACTGTAAATGTACGACCCCGCCAGCCCCTAACCAACCACAAATCCGTTAGCAAGCAGCAACAGCAGCGCATGGGTCACGCTCGCACCAACGTCCGTCCTTCCCGTCCTCCATATGGAACACTCCGTTTTCATCACTAAACGCGATTCCCTCGCTTCCGTCCTGCTCGGCCTTCTCCCTAGCAATGTCCGTCGAAGCGTGTCCTCTCAGTCCTCCTACCCGCGATCAGCGGCGGGCATTCCGCGGCCCCCCTCTGCCGGCTCCATTTTCCCTCCTCCCCGCGTTCTCCGCTGCAACAGGGTCCTCCGACGGCTGCGATCGTCGCTGCGGTTCTGGCTGCAATCGTGGCCGTTCTCGTTCACGCCCGTCAAGTCGTCTCTCTCACTCTCACGCCAGCCTTCCTTTGATCGGCGACGAACCGCCGGGCTCTCCCCCTTCCTCCCCCGCTTTCCCCGCTTCTCCTGCCTACGGAAGCCGCACCCGCTGCTAGCGCTGCTGCTGCTAGCCGCGGCGCTCGTTAGCCTGTGGGATGTAGAATTCGTGGTGGAGATCGGTGACGATCGCACGCGCGCTGCTTCAGGCACGATAGGAGGGGAGCATCTGAGGAGGAGGGGAAGAGAAAGCTGGGGAGCAGAGGAAATCTTCACAGGGGAAGGCTTACGTCATCCGACGTCATGGTCGTCAGCGTCATCGTCCCACGCGTCGTTGCGCTCCTCGTTGCTGTACCCGTCGCTGCGCCTGGATGAGGGGAATCGCGCGGCGCCGATGCGAGGCAGGCTGCTGGGCCTCGCGGCGCAATCGCTGGTGGCGGTGAGCGTGCGGGGGGGAGAGGGGGGAGGCGGGGGAAAGGTGGTTGGGAAGGGTGGGAAGCCCCCAGAGGCGCAGCAGTGACAAGACAATCGTGTGCTTCTACTCAACACGCGCTTCCTCTTTCCAATAGACGCCCCTAGATAGAGGGGGAGCCCTCAGAGGCTCCTCCTCCCCCATCGGAAGCAGTGACAGCGCGAGCCATGTCGTTGTCTACTGTTAATAATATCCCGCACTCAAATCTCCTCAATTTCCCTTAAAAGTCCCCCCCCCCTTCCCCACCCGCATCCCTTCTTCCCCCTTCATCCCCTATCAGGGCGTATGTCACCTCGTGTCAAGAGTACTGTTGGTGGAATCCGAAATTCTTGGACGACCAACGGTATTCCTACATTATCGTTGACAACAACTGAAATGCATTCCATTGGTCGTCCAAGAATTTCGGATGCCACCAACAGTTGCCTTGACACCTTACGTGATACGCCCTCAGAAGCAGTGGCAACCAGGGTCACCTGACCTGTGGGGGGAAGCGTCCAGCCAGGGCGCATCAGTGACAAACCTGTATTGCTACTCAATATCTTCCTTTCCTCTCCTTCCCTCCCCTCCACCCACCCTCCCACGCTCCCTCCATTTCCCCCTTTTTCTGCGGCATCCCATCAGAAGCAGTGGCAGCGCGAGCCGCGGTAACTGTGGGAGGAGCCTCCAGAGGCGCACCAGTGGCAATGAACACTCCCCCTCTTCACCCCTCACTCCTTCCGTTTCCCCGTTTCTCCCACCAACCCCCATTCTACCCCATCAGAAGCAGTGGCAGCGCGAGCCACCAGACCTGTGGGAGGAGCCGCCAGAGGCGCTGCAGTGGCGCCCATGTGCCCTTGGCGACTCTTCTCTCTCTGCTCCCTCCGGTACTGCTGCCACTCACTCTGCCAGCCGGTCACCGACGAGAGGCGCTGGTAGTGATGGCACCGCTGCTGCTGGCGGCAGCAGTGGCAGCAGCAGCAGTGACAGCAGCGGCGGCAAGAGGGAAGATGCGGGTCCGTTCTTCTCGGTGGCAGCAAAGGGCGGCCTTAGCCAGCTCAGGGTCGCGGTCAGTGTTTGCTTACCTGCGTGTCACTTGCTTGCATCCCCATTTATCCACCCAACCCCCCTTTGAGGCGCCTCAAAAGTCGTCTCAGTGTTGCCTGCCTACATGTCACTTGCTTGCTTGCATCCCCATTCATCCACCCAACCCCCCTTTTGAGGCGCCTCAAAAGTCGTCTCAGTGCTGCCTGCCTGCGTGTCACTTGCTTGCTTGCATCCCCATTCATCCACCCAACCCCCCTTTTGAGGCGCCTCAAAAGTCGTCTCAGTGCTGCCTGCCTGCGTGTCACTTGCTTGCTTGCATCCCCATTCATCCACCCAACCCCCCTTTTGAGGCGCCTCAAAAGTCGTCTCAGTGCTGCCTGCCTGCGTGTCACTTGCTTGCTTGCATCCCCATTCATCCACCCAACCCCCCTTTTGAGGCGCCTCAAAAGTCGTCTCAGTGCTGCCTGCCTGCGTGTCACTTGCTTGCTTGCATCCCCATTCATCCACCCAACCCCCCTTTTGAGGCGCCTCAAAAGTCGTCTCAGTGCTGCCTGCCTGCGTGTCACTTGCTTGCTTGCATCCCCATTCATCCACCCAACCCCCCTTTTGAGGCGCCTCAAAAGTCGTCTAAGTGCTGCCTGCCTGCATGTCACTTGCTTGCTTGCATCCCCATTCATCCACCCAACCCCCCTTTTGAGGCGCCTCAAAAGTCGTCTCAGTGCTGCCTGCCTGCGTGTCACTTGCTTGCTTGCATCCCCATTCATCCACCCAACCCCCCTTTTGAGGCGCCTCAAAAGTCGTCTCAGTGCTGCCTGCCTGCGTGTCACTTGCTTGCTTGCATCCCATTCATCCACCCAACCCCCCATTTGAGGCGCCTCAAAAGTCGTCTCAGTGCTGCCTGCCTGCATGTCACTTGCTTGCTTGCATCCCCATTCATCCACCCAACCCCCCTTTTGAGGCGCCTCAAAAGTCGTCTCAGTGCTGCCTGCCTGCGTGTCACTTGCTTGCTTGCATCCCCATTCATCCACCCAACCCCCCTTTTGAGGCGCCTCAAAAGTCGTCTCAGTGCTGCCTGCCTGCATGTCACTTGCTTGCTTGCATCCCCATTCATCCACCCAACCCCCCTTTTGAGGCGCCTCAAAAGTCGTCTCAGTGTTGCCTGCCTGCATGTCACTTGCTTGCTTGCATCCCCATTCATCCACCCAACCCCCCTTTTGAGGCGCCTCAAAAGTCGTCTCAGTGCTGCCTGCCTGCGTGTCACTTGCTTGCTTGCATCCCCATTCATCCACCCAACCCCCCTTTTGAGGCGCCTCAAAAGTCGTCTCAGTGCTGCCTGCCTGCGTGTCACTTGCTTGCTTGCATCCCCATTCATCCACCCAACCCCCCTTTTGAGGCGCCTCAAAAGTCGTCTCAGTGCTGCCTGCCTGCGTGTCACTTGCTTGCTTGCATCCCCATTCATCCACCCAACCCCCCTTTTGAGGCGCCTCAAAAGTCGTCTCAGTGCTGCCTGCCTGCGTGTCACTTGCTTGCTTGCATCCCCATTCATCCACCCAACCCCCCTTTTGAGGCGCCTCAAAAGTCGTCTCAGTGCTGCCTGCCTGCGTGTCACTTGCTTGCTTGCATCCCCATTCATCCACCCAACCCCCCTTTTGAGGCGCCTCAAAAGTCGTCTCAGTGCTGCCTGCCTGCGTGTCACTTGCTTGCTTGCATCCCCATTCATCCACCCAACCCCCCTTTTGAGGCGCCTCAAAAGTCGTCTCAGTGCTGCCTGCCTGCGTGTCACTTGCTTGCTTGCATCCCCATTCATCCACCCAACCCCCCTTTTGAGGCGCCTCAAAAGTCGTCTCAGTGCTGCCTGCCTGCGTGTCACTTGCTTGCTTGCATCCCCATTCATCCACCCAACCCCCCTTTTGAGGCGCCTCAAAAGTCGTCTCAGTGCTGCCTGCCTGCATGTCACTTGCTTGCTTGCATCCCCATTCATCCACCCAACCCCTCTTTTGAGGCGCCTCAAAAGTCGTCTCAGTGCTGCCTGCCTGCGTGTCACTTGCTTGCTTGCATCCCCATTCATCTACCCAACCCCCCTTTTGAGGCGCCTCAAAAGTCGTCTCAGTGCTGCCTGCCTGCATGTCACTTGCTTGCTTGCATCCCCATTCATCCACCCAACCCCCCTTTTGAGGCGCCTCAAAAGTCGTCTCAGTGCTGCCTGCCTGCGTGTCACTTGCTTGCTTGCATCCCCATTCATCCACCCAACCCCCCTTTTGAGGCGCCTCAAAAGTCGTCTCAGTGCTGCCTGCCTGCGTGTCACTTGCTTGCTTGCATCCCCATTCATCCACCCAACCCCCCTTTTGAGGCGCCTCAAAAGTCGTCTCAGTGCTGCCTGCCTGCGTGTCACTTGCTTGCTTGCATCCCCATTCATCCACCCAACCCCCCTTTTGAGGCGCCTCAAAAGTCGTCTCAGTGATGCCTGCCTGCGTGTCACTTGCTTGCTTGCATCCCCATTCATCCACCCAACCCCCCTTTTGAGGCGCCTCAAAAGTCGTCTCAGTGCTGCCTGCCTGCATGTCACTTGCTTGCTTGCATCCCCATTCATCCACCCAACCCCCCTTTTGAGGCGCCTCAAAAGTCGTCTCAGTGCTGCCTGCCTTCGTGTCACTTGCTTGCTTGCATCCCCATTCATCCACCCAACCCCCCTTTTGAGGCGCCTCAAAAGTCGTCTCAGTGCTGCCTGCCTTCGTGTCACTTGCTTGCTTGCATCCCCATTCATCCACCCAACCCCCCTTTTGAGGCGCCTCAAAAGTCGTCTCAGTGTTGCCTGCCTGCATGTCACTTGCTTGCTTGCATCCCCATTCATCCACCCAACCCCCCTTTTGAGGCGCCTCAAAAGTCGTCTCAGTGCTGCCTGCCTGCGTGTCACTTTCTTGCTTGCATCCCCATTCATCCACCCAACCCCCCTTTTGAGGCGCCTCAAAAGTCGTCTCAGTGCTGCCTGCCTGCGTGTCACTTGCTTGCTTGCATCCCCATTCATCCACCCAACCCCCCTTTTGAGGCGCCTCAAAAGTCGTCTCAGTGCTGCCTGCCTGCGTGTCACTTGCTTGCTTGCATCCCCATTCATCCACCCAACCCCCCTTTTGAGGCGCCTCAAAAGTCGTCTCAGTGCTGCCTGCCTGCGTGTCACTTGCTTGCTTGCATCCCCATTCATCCACCCAACCCCCCTTTTGAGGCGCCTCAAAAGTCGTCTCAGTGCTGCCTGCCTGCGTGTCACTTGCTTGCTTGCATCCCCATTCATCCACCCAACCCCCCTTTTGAGGCGCCTCAAAAGTCGTCTCAGTGCTGCCTGCCTGCGTGTCACTTTCTTGCTTGCATCCCCATTCATCCACCCAACCCCCCTTTTGAGGCGCCTCAAAAGTCGTCTCAGTGCTGCCTGCCTGCGTGTCACTTGCTTGCTTGCATCCCCATTCATCCACCCAACCCCCCTTTTGAGGCGCCTCAAAAGTCGTCTCAGTGCTGCCTGCCTGCGTGTCACTTGCTTGCTTGCATCCCCATTCATCCACCCAACCCCCCTTTTGAGGCGCCTCAAAAGTCGTCTCAGTGCTGCCTGCCTGCGTGTCACTTGCTTGCTTGCATCCCCATTCATCCACCCAACCCCCCTTTTGAGGCGCCTCAAAAGTCGTCTCAGTGCTGCCTGCCTGCGTGTCACTTGCTTGCTTGCATCCCCATTCATCCACCCAACCCCCCTTTTGAGGCGCCTCAAAAGTCGTCTCAGTGCTGCCTGCCTGCATGTCACTTGCTTGCTTGCATCCCCATTCATCCACCCAACCCCTCTTTTGAGGCGCCTCAAAAGTCGTCTCAGTGCTGCCTGCCTGCGTGTCACTTGCTTGCTTGCATCCCCATTCATCTACCCAACCCCCCTTTTGAGGCGCCTCAAAAGTCGTCTCAGTGCTGCCTGCCTGCATGTCACTTGCTTGCTTGCATCCCCATTCATCCACCCAACCCCCCTTTTGAGGCGCCTCAAAAGTCGTCTCAGTGCTGCCTGCCTGCGTGTCACTTGCTTGCTTGCATCCCCATTCATCCACCCAACCCCCCTTTTGAGGCGCCTCAAAAGTCGTCTCAGTGCTGCCTGCCTGCGTGTCACTTGCTTGCTTGCATCCCCATTCATCCACCCAACCCCCCTTTTGAGGCGCCTCAAAAGTCGTCTCAGTGCTGCCTGCCTGCGTGTCACTTGCTTGCTTGCATCCCCATTCATCCACCCAACCCCCCTTTTGAGGCGCCTCAAAAGTCGTCTCAGTGATGCCTGCCTGCGTGTCACTTGCTTGCTTGCATCCCCATTCATCCACCCAACCCCCCTTTTGAGGCGCCTCAAAAGTCGTCTCAGTGCTGCCTGCCTGCATGTCACTTGCTTGCTTGCATCCCCATTCATCCACCCAACCCCCCTTTTGAGGCGCCTCAAAAGTCGTCTCAGTGCTGCCTGCCTTCGTGTCACTTGCTTGCTTGCATCCCCATTCATCCACCCAACCCCCCTTTTGAGGCGCCTCAAAAGTCGTCTCAGTGCTGCCTGCCTTCGTGTCACTTGCTTGCTTGCATCCCCATTCATCCACCCAACCCCCCTTTTGAGGCGCCTCAAAAGTCGTCTCAGTGTTGCCTGCCTGCATGTCACTTGCTTGCTTGCATCCCCATTCATCCACCCAACCCCCCTTTTGAGGCGCCTCAAAAGTCGTCTCAGTGCTGCCTGCCTGCGTGTCACTTGCTTGCTTGCATCCCCATTCATCCACCCAACCCCCCTTTTGAGGCGCCTCAAAAGTCGTCTCAGTGCTGCCTGCCTGCGTGTCACTTGCTTGCTTGCATCCCCATTCATCCACCCAACCCCCCTTTTGAGGCGCCTCAAAAGTCGTCTCAGTGCTGCCTGCCTGCGTGTCACTTGCTTGCTTGCATCCCCATTCATCCACCCAACCCCCCTTTTGAGGCGCCTCAAAAGTCGTCTCAGTGCTGCCTGCCTGCGTGTCACTTGCTTGCTTGCATCCCCATACATCCACCCAACCCCCCTTTTGAGGCGCCTCAAAAGTCGTCTCAGTGATGCCTGCCTGCGTGTCACTTGCTTGCTTGCATCCCCATTCATCCACCCAACCCCCCTTTTGAGGCGCCTCAAAAGTCGTCTCAGTGCTGCCTGCCTGCATGTCACTTGCTTGCTTGCATCCCCATTCATCCACCCAACCCCCCTTTTGAGGCGCCTCAAAAGTCGTCTCAGTGCTGCCTGCCTTCGTGTCACTTGCTTGCTTGCATCCCCATTCATCCACCCAACCCCCCTTTTGAGGCGCCTCAAAAGTCGTCTCAGTGCTGCCTGCCTTCGTGTCACTTGCTTGCTTGCATCCCCATTCATCCACCCAACCCCCCTTTTGAGGCGCCTCAAAAGTCGTCTCAGTGTTGCCTGCCTGCATGTCACTTGCTTGCTTGCATCCCCATTCATCCACCCAACCCCCCTTTTGAGGCGCCTCAAAAGTCGTCTCAGTGCTGCCTGCCTGCGTGTCACTTTCTTGCTTGCATCCCCATTCATCCACCCAACCCCCCTTTTGAGGCGCCTCAAAAGTCGTCTAAGTGCTGCCTGCCTGCATGTCACTTGCTTGCTTGCATCCCCATTCATCCACCCAACCCCCCTTTTGAGGCGCCTCAAAAGTCGTCTCAGTGTTGCCTGCCTGCGTGTCAGTTGCTTGCTTGCATCCCATTCATCCACCCAACCCAACCCTCCATTGTTCATTCCTCCTCCCCGCCGCCTTCCTCAGTGTTCCCACTCATCAGTTTGTTTGACGCACTCTTCCTCTCCCTCCTTCTCCCATCCCATCCTTCTCATCCCTTGCATGAAACCCCCTCCCCTCTCTGCTTCCATCCCTCCCTTCCCCCGTCCCCCCTCCGCCCCGCCCTTCCCTCCCCCACCCACCTTTTTCCTACCTCTAACCATGCACATCCTCCCTCCCCTCCCATGCTCGCGTACCCTGTCGCTCCAAGCATTCGCCCCTTCCCCCCGGCTCTCAGGTGTGCAAGGCAGCAGCAGTGGTATTGCATTGCACCTCAACGCCGCACCCCTCCTCCACTCTCTCTCCCCTACTTCCCACCTCCCAATCCCCCCGTCCATGCCCCATTGCCTCCCACACGTGTCCCCCAGACGTGCAATGCAGCAGCGGTTGCGTTTTACCTCAACGCCACGCTTCTCCTCCCGCGCTTCCTCTCCTTCTCCTCAGCCAGGTGAACCACCTCCCACTCGCACATCATGGCACCCGGTCTGCATACATGCATCCAGAATATCAGTTCTTCTGAAATTTCTCTCGAGAATTCTCCAGTTCGGGGAGGTCTTTGACTCAGACCACTTCATCTCATCGCTCGCGCCTCAAGTCAGGGTCATCAGGAAGCTTCCGCCCTCCTTCCAGTCTCTCAATGTCAACATCATGGGAGTCAACGTGAGTCATCCTTGTTGTTGTTGTGAGTCAACACAGGAAGGAAACAGCAATCCTACTCTTCTCTTTGCAATTTCAATGTCCTTGTCCGGTGTCGGAGTAGGAGCAGTTTCGTGGGTTGCGTGTTGTACACAGAATCCCATCCCAACCCCTCGGGAATATTGCCACCAGAATCTCCGAGCCTTGAAGATTTTCTGTGTGCTTGAGGGCTGGAGGGTGTGACCAGTCACTGGTCATGAAGAAGAGAAGCAGTGTGAAGGATCGCTTTAGCAAAGAACGATAGTCACTTGCCGAACAATGTAACCCTGAAAAAACTACAAATTAAACTAGAATCCTTGAAGTTTTGCTGTGTGCTGGAGGGCTGGAGGGTTTGCTGGCGGTCTATATCAGGCTTGGCATGGATGGCAATGGCATGGCACGACAACATGCCATTGATTGAGCCCCTCTCTTCCCACAGTTTATGGTTGGAAGCATGGATAGGCATTTATGAAAATCTTGCATTCATGAGCATACGTGCACTTTTCCAGGCATTTGCAAACCGCCTGCCCAGTTCCTGCACCCCCTTTTCCACTCTAGCTCTTCTCCCCAAACCTCCTTCCCCCCCACTATCTCTTACTCCACCCCCATCTCCACCCCCTCTGAAAGAAGGTATCAGAGCCACGGTTCCCCGGGAGGTACCTTTGCAGCAATTCCTCTGACTCTAGAGGCGCCTCAAGATACCTCTTCTGCTCCCTGCTGTACCTTTGTTCTCCCCTAGCCTCATCAGCCACAGCAGCCCCATCAGCCACAGCAGCCCCATCAGCCTCAACAACCCTAGCAACCACAGAAGTCACAGCAGTTATAGAAGCCAAAGCAGCCCTAGCAACCCCAACTGCCACAACAGCCACAGTAGGCACAACAGGCACATCAGGCAGATTAAGCAAAGAAGCCAAATCAGCCAGAGCAGCCCTAGCAACCCCAACTGCCACAGCAGCCACAGTAGGCACAACAGGCACAGCAGCCACATCAGGCAGATCAGGCAAATGAGCCAAAGAAGCCAGAGCAGCCTTAGCAACCCCAATTGCCACAGCAGCCATAGTAGGCACAACAGGCACAGCAAGCACATCAGGCAGATCAAGCAAATGAGCCAAATCAGCCAGAGCAGCCCTAGCAACCTCAACTGCTACAACTGCCACAGTAGGCAGAACAGGCACAGCAGCCACATCAGGCATATCAAGCAAAGTAGCCAAAGCAGCCAGAGAAGCCCTAGCAACCCCAACTGCCACAGCAGCCACACTAGGCACAACAGGCACAGCAGCCACATCAGGCAGATCAGGCAATGGATCCAAAGCAGCTAGAGCAGCCCTAGCAACCCCAACTGTCACAGCAGCCACAATAGGCACAACAGACACATCAGCCACATCAGGCAGATCTAGCAAAGGGGCTAAAGCAGTCAGAGCAGCCCTAGCAACCCCAGCTACCACAGTAGCCACAGTAGGCACAACAGGCACAACAGGCACAATAGCCACATCAGACAGATCAAGCAAAGGAGCCAAAGCAACCAGGGCAGCCTTAGCAACCCCAACTGCCACAGCAGCCACAGTAGGCACAACAGGCACAGCAGGCACATCAAGCAGATCAAGGAAAGGAGTCAAATCAGCCAGAGCAGCCTTAACAACCCCAACTGCTACAATTGCCACAGTAGGCAAAACAGGCACAGTAGCCACATCAGGCAGCTCAAGCAAAGGAGCCAAAAGAGTCAGAGCAGCCTTAACAACCCCAACTGCCACAGCAGCCACAGTAGGCACAATAGGCACAGTAGCCACATCAGGCTGATCAAGCAAAGGAGCCAAAGCAGCCAAAGCAGCCCTAGCAACCCCAACTGCCACAGTATGCACAACAAGCACGGTAGCCACATCAGACAGTTCAAGCAAAGGAGCCAAAGCAGCCAGAGCAGCCAACTTGGTTAAAGCACCTAGAAAAGCCAGCTTCGCTAAAGCAGCCAGAGCAGCCAAAAAAGACATAGCAGCGCTGATAGCCACAGCAGCCACAGAGAGGAGAGTTAGACAGACAGGAGTGAGTCCGAGAAGGGGGAGAGAGACGGGAGTTGGACTCATTCCTATCTGTCTAAATCTCCTCTCTGTGGCTGCTGTGGCTACTGAAGCTGCTATGGGTTTTTTGGCTACTCTGGCAGCATTAACCAAGCTGGCTTTTCTGGTTGCTTTAACCAAGCTAGCTACTCTGATTGCTTTGGCTCTTTGCTTGATCTGTCTGATGTGGGTGATGTGCAGTTGTGCCTACTATGGCTGCTGTGGCACTTGGGGTTGCTAGCGCTGCTCTGGCTTCTTTGGCTCCTTTGCTTGATCTGCCTGATGTGGCTATTGTGCCTGTTGTGCCAACTGTGGTTGCTGTGGCAGTTGGGGTTGCTAGGGCTGCTCTGGCTGCTTTGGCTCGTTTGCCTGATCTGCCTGATGTGCCTACTGTGCCTATTGTGCTTACTGTGGCTGCTGTGGTAGTTGGGGTTGCTAGGGCTGCTCTGGCTGCTTTGGCTACTTTGCTTGATGTGCCTGATATGTCTGCTGTGCCTGTTGTGCCCACTGTGGCTGTTGTGGCAATTCGGGTTGCTAGGGCTGCTCTGGCTGCTTTGGCTTCTTTGCTTGATCTGCCTGATGTGGCTGTTGTGCCTACTGTGGATGCTGTGGCCGTTGGGGTTGCTAAGGCCGCTGTGGAAGCAGGTATTGGACAAGCAGTTCCCCCCAGGAGGCGCCACTGCAGCTCTTCCTGCGCCTGTTGAGGTGCCCCAAAACACCTCAAACGGTCCTTTGTATTGATTCAGGCGAGGTACAAAACATGCAGATTCATCCGGTAATAGCCTTACTCTCTCTTCATTGTACCTCTTCCTCCTCTTCCCCCCCCATTCTTTCCTCCCCTGCAATCAGGTATCAGAGCAGCAGTTTCCTCGGGAAGTACCGCTGCAGCTCTCCCTGTGCCTCGTGAGGCGCCTCGAGATACCTCTTTCCACCCCCTCTGCCTCTAATCTCCCCATTTTCCACCACTTGCAAGTATCGGAGCAGCAGTTCCCCCAGGAGGTGCCATTGCAGCTCTTCCTGCACCTCTAATCACCTTATTTACCCTTTCGACCTCTATTCTCCCTGCATCCCCTCCTTCCCCCCCTCCCTATGTGCAGGTATCGGAGCAGCAGTTCCCCCGGGAGGTGCCGTTGCAGCTCTTTCTGCGCCTGGTGCCGCTGATGAGGCGCGTGGGGCTCCTCCACTTCCACGGCTTCCTCAACGCCCTCGCCTCCGACCCCATGCCACTGCATGTTCAGGTATGCTCATGTGCGCACTGCACCACACAGTGTGTTGTGAAATGTTAGACACCTGCATTGCACCGCTCTGCACGGCACCGTGCGCCCCTGATGAGGCGGGTGGGGCTCCTCCACTTCCACGGCTTCCTCAACGCCCTCGCCTCCGACCCCATGCCACTGCATGTTCAGGTGCGCTCTGGATTGCTCCACACTTTATCACACCACTCTGCACCGCACTGTGTGTTGTGAATTGTTGCATTGCACCGCACCGTCTGCCACTCATGAGGCGTGCGGGGCCTCTCCACTTACATTGCTTCCTCAACGAGCTCGCTTCCGACCCCACTCGGCATGACACTGCACACTGCACCTCACAGTGGGTTTCAACCAGATTGAAAAGCTCCTGTATTACCCCGCTCCACACCACTGCACACCGCTTGATGCTGGTGAGTTGAGTGGGTGTGCTAACTTCACCCGCCTGGCATCACATGCCATGCCTCTCTGCATTCAGGTCTGGTTTCACGGCAGCACTCTGTACCACTCTGCACCGCACTGCAGCGTAGGCCTCTGATGGAGTTTGGCCTCTGATGGTCTGCTGCTAGCACTTTCCACTCCATGCCGCCATGCATTCACCTGCACTTACGACGCACTTAACCACTTTGCACCATGTCGAAGCGCACCTCACCGCACTGTTCACTCCTGCTTACACCCTTATCTCCCCCCACTGATTTGACACTACCTGTCTTCCCTTCCCTCTACCCTCACCTCCTCCCAACCCCACTCCCCTCTCTCCCCTTTCCCATTCCCGCCCTTTCCCCCCTCCCCGCTAACAGCGCCTGCGTTGTCGATGCATGTTTCACGCCCTCACCTTCCTGCCAGCCGTCCATGCCACCGCCCAGCTGGCCATCCAACGGCTGAGATCAGCCGCTGGGGCGCTGCCACGTGTGCAAGAGCAGTGGATGGACGGCGAGGATGAAGCAGGGAAGCACGGTGCTGGGAATGGGGAAAATCGGGGCAAAAAATATGAAAGAGAAAGGATGGAAGGCCAGGTTGAGAGCCAGGAGAAAATTCAGGTGAAAGGTCAGGTGAATGGCACATCTGGTCAGGTGCACACGGACATAGGCCATTTGAGTTCTCAAGAGCCAGACCCCTCAGCAGGCATCCCTCGCTACGTGGCCGCTCACATCCCCTTCGATGCCGTCTCTGCCGCCTACTCCCTCTGCTCCTTCACCCCTCGCCACACTCACACCTACAACCACAACCAGACCCAACCCCAAGACCAAACCCAAACCCAAACCCAAACCCAAGACCAGAACCAGCATCAGAACCGGAACCAGGACCAGAACCAAGACGACAACCAGTACGAGCAGCAGGGCCAGGGCCAAGAGCGGGACGAAGCAGAGGAGGAGGCGGAGCAGCTGAGGGACATCCGGCAGCTGCTGTTCCCCGTGCTGCACGCATTCGAGCAGCAGGGCCGCCTCAACGCCCCCGACTGGTACCGCCGCATCGGCCGCTGCCCCGTGGCCCCTGAGGAGGCTGCTCTTGTGCTGGCGGGCATGGGCGTGGGGAGATTGCGCCCGGTGTTCCTCGTGGGGGTGTCCGCTGAGCCGTGCAGGCTTGTGCTTGGGGGTGAAGGGGTGCTGAGCGGTGGGGATGGCGGGATGCAGGGTGGGAGGGAGGAAGAGTGGCGGGAGGGGGGGCGACAAGGGGTTGCGTGGGAGGAGGAGCAGGAGCAGGAGGAACGGATGAGGGGCCAGCAGGAGGAGCAGCTGAGGGGGCAGGGCAGGCGGTGGTTCAACGGATGCCGGCGGTTGGAAGCAGTGCGAGCGCTCTTCCCCTCCATCGCGTCCATTGATACCCTCCTCTCCCCACAAGAGATCGCCCCCTTCTCGCACTCGCCTCTCCTGGTGAGTCTTGAGTGAACCCAAAACTGGAGGCAGTGCGAGCGCTCTTCCCCTCCCTCTCGTCCATCGATACCCTCCTTTCGGCCCAAGAGATCGCCCCCTTCTCGCACTCGCCTCTCCTGGGAAGCTGCTTCCGTTCTATTCACCATGCACCATGCACCATGCACGATGCACCTTCATCCCACACCCTCAACCCTCACACTCACCATCACCCGTCACACTTACCATCACCCCTCATGCTCATCTCTTAGCCACTTCTCCCTTGTCCAGATCACCGCCCTTGAAACCATCGTGGCCGGCGAATCAGATCTCTTCCTTGCAGCGGACGGCAGCAGCCAGCTGGCAGCACTCGTGGCTGGGCGGCGAATGTACATCGGTGCCAGATCAGACAAAGGATCTGATTGCAGGACCAGTGGCTGTACTCCTACCAACGAATCTGGTTACCAGCATGGTTACAGGCCGTCCGTGCGAATCAACCGCGCCCAGCTGGCGGAGGATCTGGGCGGCGGGAAAGTTTTGCGGGCGGGGGAAGAGTGGATTGGGGATGCAGAGGAGAGGGTGATGGAGTGGGAGGAGGTGGAGGAGCGAGTGAGGGCGATGGTGGGGGAGAGTAAGAGTGTGAAGAGGAGGAGGGTTTCTCGGAGTGTGTATAGGCATCCACGCGACGAGGCATGCATGTGCTTTGGGGAGGGGGAGAAGAGAGGCGGGGAGGTGGGGAGTGAGGAGTGGGGAGGTGCAGGAGAAGAGAGGGGAGGGAAGAACAAGCTGGAACGGAGGGAGGTGAGCGGAGGGGGATTAGGCAGGGCAGATATGGGAAGAAGTGGTGATGCTGGGTCTGGCAAGGGGTTGAATGATGGAGGGAGGTCGGAAGCGAAGGGGGAAGTAAGGGCAAAGAGGAGAGTGGGTAAGGATGGGGGAAGCAGTGGGCCTGCCAAGAGGCAAAGGCTTCGAGGTGTGGTTGGGGGACGAGGGGTGAGCGTTGGTGTGGGTGATGATGATGAGGACGAAGAGGAGGATGGGGTTGAGCCTGGTGAAAGCAACATGGATAGGGATGAAGAGGAAAGGGAAGTGGAAAGGACAATGAGGTTGGAAGAGAAGAGTATGGCAAAAATAGAAGAGGAAACAGAAGTGCGCGAGAAAGAGATGCGAGAAAGGGAAGTTTCAGATCTTCTACTCATTAATGTGCGTGAGGGAACGCAAGGAATTAGTAACTCAAGCTTGTGGAAAGATCCGGACATTATGCATGTGTGATAGGTTGGTCTAGCTTTGTATCATGCCATATTTTAGTGTTTTTCATATATTGACTTTGCTCACACCGACATTGTTACGTCGTCTGCCGATTTTGCGTCTCGCTGGATATGGATAATGCTGACGCGTAAAAGCGGAAGGAAAGCGATTGGGGTTCGCAATTTGTCATAAATCAATGGCGAATGTGCTTCCCTCTTCACGCATATCTCACGATTTTAAAAATTCCTCGCCCGTCTTCGCTCGCACAGTCCCACCCTCTCGTCGCACTTCGCCATTTCCCTCGATCTCATCGCGCGCGGCCCCAGTTTCCATTTCCCCTCCCCCGCCCACTTGCGCACTCTCCTTCCCGTGTCACTCGTTTTTCTTCTGACATTCCCCGCTCTCCCCCCACAACCCGTCTCCCCCCCCCCCCCCTTCTCCCCCACGCCTTTCCGCAACAGCTCGTTCCTCTCCAGCTCCTTGGGAGATCTGTTGAGCTGATCAAGTTGGACAGTCTCCCCTCCTGATCCTCATTCTGATTATCCAAGGTCCCTGAAGCAGACTTTTAGTAGTTCTGCTTCGGAACCAGATCAATCGCAAGGCCTCGGATTGATCCTCCCCGTCTAGTTTTCGCATTCCTTCATCTCTCGTCGCTCGTGCTTGAGAGGAGCGGCCATGGCGTCATTGTCGACCGTGGGGGTCGGCGTCGGTCAGAGCGCCTCCTCGTTCGTCGCAGGGAGCAAGAGTCTCTCGTGCGGCCGAAAGCAACCAGCAGCGAGCGTTGCTTTCGCGGGTAATTGGCCAAACAAAGCAAGAAAATAATATATATATATATATAACACTAATATTTTCCACATTGAGAGTTACGTATCACCATTTAGTTCTAAAAAATATTTCCACCATATATAAAACGCTAATAATCAACGCGCTCACATATAATTTAAAATTTGTAGACTGGTAGTGCTTCCCCTTCTAAAATGTTGTTGGTTTACACCAACGCGTGTGAGGCCTCTGAACGGCGATGGTAGCGCAAGCACGTTAAAGACGGCTGCTTCGACCACGCGATACAATCTTAAACTGATTTTTCCGATATTTTATCGTCTGCGCTGCTCTTGGCGCTGTGCGTGAATGCAGGCAAGCAGCGACACGTTGCTCCCATTAGAGCTGCTTCGTCCGGGTCCGGCGGTAATGGCGACTCCAATAAGGAGAAGCCGGCAATGCAGGTACATCCCCCCTCCATGCGCTTTGCTCCACATCCTCCCTCCATGCCCAATGCCACTCTCGCCCTCGCGCCCCTGTCCAGACTTCGTGCGAATGCGAATGGTTCCATTCCCCCCCTGCTTGCCTCCCCTCCCGCCAGAGCCTGTACGACATGGGCAGCAATCTGCTCACCCGCGTGCTGAGCGGCGGCGACATGTCCGGCATGCCTACAGCGTCTGGCGAGGTGTCGGACCTCGTCGGCCGCCCGCTCTTCTTCGCCCTCCACAACTGGTTCCTCGAGGTCCGCGCTTCTTACTCGCCGCTCTCTGCTCCCCGCTCTCTGCTCCCCGCTCTCTGCTCCCTGCTCCCTGCTCTCTGGTTTTGACTTTCTGCACTAGTGCCGCAAACGTGACTTCCGAGTCACTCTCATTGTCATTGACATTATACTCCCTTTCCTCCCCCGTCCCCCGTTTCCCCCCTCCCCCCACTTCCTCCCCTCCTTCCGCACTCGCATTCAACTAGGAGACGTGTTACGTGTATCGTCTCGCCTTCGGCCCCGATTTTCCAGTCGACTCAAAAGTCCCCCTTTTCGGCCACCTCCTCCCCTTCCTCTCCCCTCTCGTCCCCACCTCCTTTACCCCGTCCCCTCGCGTGCAGCTAGGAGGCGTGTACCGTCTTGCCTTCGGCCCCAAGGCCTTCGTGGTCATCTCGGATCCAATCGTTGCGCGCCACGTGCTCAAAGAGAACCCCTTCGCCTACGATAAGGTACGCCTCTGACTTGTCAAATGGGATTACACAGATTGAAACTTCACACCGCAAGGACTCATTCCTTCATAAGGTGTTCTTTGGGCTCCTGCATACATGTATGTGCCCATAACTAGTTTAGGGACATCTCAAAACTAGATCTGAGACGTCTCAATGCTAGGCATACATATATGTGCCACTCCCTCCCTCCAGTTCTTTTCCGCCCTCGCCTCATCCCCTCATCTCTGGTGGTGTAGTACTTTGGGCAGCATTGGGCGCAAGGAATGTACCCTCTCACTGCTGTCCTATGCTGCTCGCTGCTGCCTTCCTCCTTGGTTCTCTTCCAACGGCGGCATGGTACTGCGCATGCTGGTGGAGTGGAGCTGCTGAAGTCATGATGCCTTTGGTTTGAGCCGACATAACGGCCTGGCCAGTACCGCCCGACATTGCTCTCTACTCCCGTTTATCCCCCACGCTGCTGCTCCCCTCCCCTTCACGTGGCGCAGGGCATGCTGGCGGAGCTGCTGGAGCCCATCACGCCCCTTCACCCCCCAATGCTGCGCCCTCCTCCTCCCCCTCTGCTCCCCTCCCCTCGTTGTGGCGCAGGGCATGCTGGCGGAGCTTCTGAAGCCCATCATGGCCTTATGATTCGACTCAACGAGCGAGCCCCATCCCCCCCCCCCTTTTCCTACTCCCCAACCCCCCCCACGGCGCGCGCAGGGCATGTTGGCGGAGCTGCTGGAGCCCATCATGGGCAAGGGGCTCATCCCCGCTGACTTTGACACGTGGAAGCAGCGCAGACGAGGTGAGCGGTGGAGAGCGATGGTGAGCGGTGGTGAGCGGTGGTGAAGGGTGGTGAGGGGTGAGGAGGGCGAGGGGGGTGAGGGATTGTTAGTGGAGGAAAGGGATGATGGGACCATCAGCAAGGGGCTCATTCCCACTGACTTCGACAAATGGAAGCAGCGCAGGAGAGGTGAGCAGTGGACAGGGGTGGGGAGGAGTGGTGAGGGGTGGTGAGGACTCAGGAGTGATGATGGTGAGTGGAGAGTGGTGAGGGGTGTGAGGGGGGTGAGGAATTGTTAGTGGAGGAGGAAAGGGATGAGTGAGGCGTGAGGGGTGAGTGGTAGCTAGCTAGCGGGACAGTGTTTGCAGCAGGGTCGGTCATGTTTTGAGACGAATCAGGCGGCATGGAGGCGAGTGGTGAGTCACTGCGTTGCACATCATCAGCATCCCCTTCCTCCCTGCTGCTTCACCCACCCGACCACCCAACCGTCCATCCACCCCCCACTTCCAGCCATCGTGCCGGGATTCCACGCCGCCTATCTCGAGGCCATGGCGCTGGTCTTCTCAGAGTGCTCCAAACGCTCTGTCGACAAGCTACAAGCGCTCTGCGACCAAGCTGGAGCCACCGCGGGGGGTGAGGGCGTGCGCATGGACATGGAATCGGAGTATTCGTCTATTGCGCTGGACATCATCGGCATCTCCGTGTTCAACTATGACTTTGCTGCCTCCCCCTTCGCCCCCACCCCCTTACCCCCAGCCATTGTGCCCGGCTTCCATGCAGCGTATCTCGAGGCCATGGCTCTGGTATTCTCGGAGTGCTCCAAGCGCTCTGTCGACAAGCTGCAAGCCTTGTGCGACGAAGGCGGTGCCGGGGCTGATGCTGAGGGCGTGCGGGTGGACATGGAATCGGAGTATTCGTCCATAGCGCTGGACATCATCGGCATCTCCGTGTTCAACTATGACTTTGGGTCCGTCACTCGCGAGTCGCCGGTGATCAAGGCGGTGTACGGCACGCTGTCCGAGGCCGAGCACCGCGCTACTTTCTACATCCCCTACTGGAACATCCCCTTAATAAGGTGGGTCGGGTCGCTGTAAGGTGGTGAGTAGGACGTGTATGGGAATCATTCACTTTATAAGATGGGAGAGGTTGGATTGGATGGATGGCATGGCTTAGTGGGCCAGCAGGTGAGGCCCTAGTTGAGTGGCGGCACGAGTCGCCCGTGATCAAGGCGATGTACGGCACGCTGTCGGAGGCCTACTGGAACATCCCCTTAATAAGGTGGGTCTCCGTCTGGAACATCCCCTTTATAAGGTGCGTCTCCGTCTGGAACATCCCCTTTATAAGGTGCGTCTGTCTGGGACATCCCCTTTATAAGGTGCGTCTGTCTGGGACATCCCCTTAATAAGGTGCGTCTCCGTCTGGAACATCCCCTTCATAAGGTGGGCCAGTGGGACGCGCTTATGGGCACATACCCGTTATATGGTGGGTGCGTGAGACGTGTATGGGAACATCCCCTTTATAAGGTGGATGAGGCTGGATGGCTTAGTGGGCCGGCGGGTGAAGTGCTAGTTGAGTGGCGGTGCGAGTCGCCCATGATCCCCTTAATAAGGCCGTGTACAGCACGCTGCCAGAGGCCACGTGTAAACAGAGTTTTGAGATGTCTCAAAACAACTCTGTTTACAAGTCGCCCATGATCAAGGCCGTCTACAGCACACGCTGCCAGAGGCTGAATGCCGCACCACCTTCCACATCCCCTACTGGAACATCCCCTTTATGAGGTTTGTGAATCCGACGCCCAAACAGGAACATCCCCTTGATAAGCTGGATCAGCGGGACGCGCTTATGGGAGCATACCCATTATAGGATGGGTGCGTGGGACGCTCTTACGGGGGTATGCCCTTTGTAAAATGGATGTGATTGGATGGCTAAGTGGGATGGCCTGTGAAGTGCTACTTGAGTGGTGCCTAGTTTCTGTTGACTGGAATGGATGCGGGTGCATGTGTGCGAGATTTGAATCGCTACCGTTTCCCCATTGCGCCTCAACTATGTCCTCCTCCCCCCTCCTCCTCCCCCCTCCCCTTCCCCCCCGTTTTCTTTCCCCCCCGTTTTCTTTCCCCCCCGTTTTCTTTCCCCCCATCAGCCTGGTGGTGCCGCGGCAGATGAAGTTCCAGCAGGACCTCAAGGTCATCAACGACTGCCACCCACTCTCTACCCCTTCACCACCACTCACCCCCTCACCCCCTTTTCCCCACCCCACCCCCTTTCCCCCCCTCCACCCCATCAGCCTGGTGGTGCCGCGGCAGATGAAGTTCCAGCAGGACCTCAAGGTGGTCAACGACTGCCTGGACGACCTCATCACGCGTGCGCGCTCCACTCGCCAGGTGAGCGCAGGGGATGAGATGAGGGTGGTGAGAGGTAAATAGTCACGCTGCTGCAATCTGAGCCAGCAGGACCTCAAGGTCATCAACGACTGCCTGGACGACCTCATCACCCGCGCGCGCTCCACTCGCCAGGTGAGCGCCACGCGTGAGGTGAGGTGAGCCCAGGGGATGAGATGAGATGAGATGAGCGGAGTGAGAGGTTAACATTCACACTGCTGCAATCTAAGCCAGCAGCAGAACGTCAAGGTCAACAACGACTGCCTGCACGACCTTATCACCCATGCCCGCGCCACACGCCAGGTGAGGCCAGAAGATGAGGGGTGAAAGGAGGCTGCAATCGAGGTCGAGGGGCTGGGGAGACAGCAAGCGAGGGGTTGGTCAGATTGGAGAAGTGACATATGCATCTAAAGGTTGCATCCATTTGCACCCATTTGCATCTTTCCCACGCCTGCCAGTAGGCTGACCTGCAGGGACCAGAGAACTCTGAATCCCTCTCTTTAGCATCTCCTCTCCCCTGCACCTTCATGCCCCTCCCGTCGCCCCTGCTCCTCCCCTCCTATCCCTCACTTGTGCCCAGGAGGACGATCTAGAAGCGCTGCAGCAGAGGGACTACAGCAAGGGTGACTAACGTGAGGGGAGGACCGCAATACCCTCCTTAGCCCTCTTCTCGCCCTTCCTCTTCCCCATCCCTCATCTGACAGGAGGATGATCTAGAGGCCTTGCAGCAGAGGGACTACAGCAAGGTGCGGGACGCTAGTCTGCTGCGCTTCCTGGTGGACCTGACCTGAGGGGGGGACTGCACTGCAGCACCACTGGACTCTAAAGGCCCCTTTTTCGCCTCTAATCTCTCCTCCCTGCCCCTTCACGCCTCTCTCCCTGCCTGCTGCTCCCTCCCTGCTTCTGCTCCCCCACTCCCCACCTGCCAGGAGGACGACCTAGAGGCGCTGCAGCAGAGGGACTACAGCAAGGTGCGGGACGCCAGCCTGCTGCGCTTCCTGGTGGACCTGAGGGGGGAGGACTGCGATGACAAGCAGCTGAGGGACGACCTCATGACCATGCTCGTGGCCGGGCATGAGACCACCGCTGCTGTTCTCACCTGGGCTACCTACATGCTTGCTCAGGTGTGTGGGAGCAGGCAGTGCTGCGGGGGGGGTGCATCTAAGTAGGTAGTGGGTGGATACACATGCACACATGCTGACTGCGATGACAAGCAGCTAAGGGACGACCTCATGACCATGCTGGTGGGTGGTCATGAGATGAGACCACCGCTGCCGTGCTCACCTGGGCCACTTACATCCCTGCCCAGGTGTGCGGAGTGGAGTGCCTTCGTGCTTGCTCAGGTACTGAGGTGACTTCTGAGTCAACTCAAAGGGCATGAGCCCACTCTTGTGCTCATTTGGGCCACCTACATGCTTGCCACGTATGCAGGGAGAGAGCGTGTAGGTAGATAGGTAGGCTCATCTCATGCTGGGCACGAAAGCCCACTGCTTACATGGTCACTCACAGATGCACGAAAGCCCACTGCTTACATGGTCACTCACAGATGCACGAAAGCCCACTGCTTACATGGTCACTCACAGATGCACGAAAGCCCACTGCTTACATGGTCACTCACAGATGCACGAAAGCCCACTGCTTACATGGTCACTCACAGATGCACGAAAGCCCACTGCTTACATGGTCACTCACAGATGCGCGTGAGTGCTTCCAAGGGGGAGTGTTGGATGGTCTCTGCCACCTCACTTTCCTGATTGCCCATCTTATCTTTCACACTCCTCGTAACCATCTGAAATTTGAGGCGCCTCAAAAACCATTTCACGTCTTCATCACCCTCCTCCCTTTTCTCACCCCTCACAGAACCCACGAGTGCTAGGGAAAGCTACAGGAGGAGGTGGAGAGAGTGCCGGCAGCATCCCATCCCTCTTGACCCCTTTGCATCTCCCATTCCATCTCCCATTCCATCTCCCATTTCCATCTCCCATTTCCATCTCCCATTTCCATCTCCCATTTCCATCTCCCATTTCCATCTCCCATTTCCATCTCCCATTCCATCTCCCATTTCCATCTCCCATTTCCATCTCCCATTTCCATCTCCCATTTCCATCTCCCATTTCCATCTCCCATTTCCATCTCCCATTCCATCTCCCATTTCCATCTCCCATTTCCATCTCCCATTCCATCTCCCATTTCCATCTCCCATTCCATCTCCCATTCCATCTCCCATTTCCATCTCCCATTTCCATCTCCCATTTCCATCTCCCATTCCATCTCCCATTTCCATCTCCCATTTCCATCTCCCATTCCATCTCCCATTCCATCTCCCATTTCCATCTCCCATTCCATCTCCCATTCCATCTCCCATTCCATCTCCCATTTCCATCTCCCATTTCCATCTCCCATTTCCATCTCCCATTCCATCCCATTTCCATCTCCCATTTCCATCTCCCATTCCATCTCCCATTTCCATCTCCCATTCCATCTCCCATTTCCATCTCCCATTTCCATCTCCCATTCCATCTCCCATTTCCATCTCCCATTTCCATCTCCCATTTCCATCTCCCATTCCATCTCCCATTTCCATCTCCCATTTCCATCTCCCATTTCCATCTCCCATTTCCATCTCCCATTTCCATCTCCCATTTCCATCTCCCATTCCATCTCCCATTTCCATCTCCCATTTCCATCTCCCATTTCCATCTCCCATTCCATCTCCCATTTCCATCTCCCATTTCCATCTCCCATTCCATCTCCCATTTCCATCTCCCATTCCATCTCCCATTTCCATCTCCCATTTCCATCTCCCATTCCATCTCCCATTTCCATCTCCCATTTCCATCTCCCATTTCCATCTCCCATTCCATCTCCCATTTCCATCTCCCATTTCCATCTCCCATTTCCATCTCCCATTTCCATCTCCCATTTCCATCTCCCATTCCATCTCCCATTCCATCTCCCATTTCCATCTCCCATTCCATCTCCCATTTCCATCTCCCATTCCATCTCCCATTTCCATCTCCCATTTCCATCTCCCATTCCATCTCCCATTTCCATCTCCCATTTCCATCTCCCATTTCCATCTCCCATTCCATCTCCCATTTCCATCTCCCATTTCCATCTCCCATTTCCATCTCCCATTTCCATCTCCCATTTCCATCTCCCATTTCCATCTCCCATTCCATCTCCCATTTCCATCTCCCATTTCCATCTCCCATTTCCATCTCCCATTCCATCTCCCATTTCCATCTCCCATTTCCATCTCCCATTCCATCTCCCATTTCCATCTCCCATTCCATCTCCCATTTCCATCTCCCATTTCCATCTCCCATTCATCTCCCATTTCCATCTCCCATTTCCATCTCCCATTTCCATCTCCCATTCCATCTCCCATTTCCATCTCCCATTTCCATCTCCCATTTCCATCTCCCATTTCCATCTCCCATTTCCATCTCCCATTCCATCTCCCATTTCCATCTCCCATTTCCATCTCCCATTTCCATCTCCCATTTCCATCTCCCATTTCCATCTCCCATTTCCATCTCCCATTCCATCTCCCATTTCCATCTCCCATTCCATCTCCCATTTCCATCTCCCATTTCCATCTCCCATTCCATCTCCCATTTCCATCTCCCATTTCCATCTCCCATTTCCATCTCCCATTCCATCTCCCATTTCCATCTCCCATTTCCATCTCCCATTTCCATCTCCCATTTCCATCTCCCATTTCCATCTCCCATTTCCATCTCCCATTCCATCTCCCATTTCCATCTCCCATTTCCATCTCCCATTTCCATCTCCCATTCCATCTCCCATTTCCATCTCCCATTTCCATCTCCCATTCCATCTCCCATTCCATCTCCCATTTCCATCTCCCATTTCATCTCCCATTCCATCTCCCATTCCATCTCCCATTTCCATCTCCCATTTCCATCTCCCATTTCCATCTCCCATTTCCATCTCCCATTTCCATCTCCCATTTCCATCTCCCATTCCATCTCCCATTTCCATCTCCCATTTCCATCTCCCATTTCCATCTCCCATTTCCATCTCCCATTTCCATCTCCCATTTCCATCTCCCATTTCCATCTCCCATTTCCATCTCCCATTTCCATCTCCCATTCCATCTCCCATTTCCATCTCCCATTTCCATCTCCCATTTCCATCTCCCATTTCCATCTCCCATTTCCATCTCCCATTTCCATCTCCCATTTCTATCTCCCATTCCATCTCCCATTTCCCTCTCCCATTTCCATCTCCCATTTCCATCTCCCATTTCCATCTCCCATTTCCATCTCCCATTTCCATCTCCCATTTCCATCTCCCATTTCCATCTCCCATTTCCATCTCCCATTTCCATCTCCCATTTTCCATCTCCCATTTCCATCTCCCATTTCCATCTCCCATTTCCATCTCCCATTTCCATCTCCCATTTCCATCTCCCATTTCCATCTCCCATTTCCATCTCCCATTTCCATCTCCCATTTCCATCTCCCATTTCCATCTCCCATTTCCATCTCCCATTTCCATCTCCCATTCCATCTCCCATTTCCATCTCCCATTTCCATCTCCCATTTCCATCTCCCATTTCCATCTCCCATTTCCATCTCCCATTTCCATCTCCCATTTCCATCTCCCATTTCCATCTCCCATTTCCATCTCCCATTTCCATCTCCCATTTCCATCTCCCATTTCCATCTCCCATTTCCATCTCCCATTTCCATCTCCCATTTCCATCTCCCATTTCCATCTCCCATTTCCATCTCCCATTTCCATCTCCCATTTCCATCTCCCATTTCCATCTCCCATTTCCATCTCCCATTCCATCTCCCATTTCCATCTCCCATTTCCATCTCCCATTTCCATCTCCCATTTCCATCTCCCATTTCCATCTCCCATTTCCATCTCCCATTTCCATCTCCCATTTCCATCTCCCATTCCATCTCCCATTCCATCTCCCATTTCCATCTCCCATTCCATCTCCCATTCCATCTCCCATTCCATCTCCCATTTCCATCTCCCATTTCCATCTCCCATTCCATCTCCCATTTCCATCTCCCATTCCATCTCCCATTTCCATCTCCCATTTCCATCTCCCATTCCATCTCCCATTCCATCTCCCATTCCATCTCCCATTTCCATCTCCCATTTCCATCTCCCATTCCATCTCCCATTTCCATCTCCCATTTCCATCTCCCATTTCCATCTCCCATTCCATCTCCCATTTCCATCTCCCATTTCCATCTCCCATTTCCATCTCCCATTTCCATCTCCCATTTCCATCTCCCATTTCCATCTCCCATTCCATCTCCCATTTCCATCTCCCATTTCCATCTCCCATTTCCATCTCCCATTTCCATCTCCCATTTCCATCTCCCATTTCCATCTCCCATTTCCATCTCCCATTCCATCTCCCATTTCCATCTCCCATTTCCATCTCCCATTTCCATCTCCCATTCCATCTCCCATTTCCATCCCATTCCATCTCCCATTTCCATCTCCCATTTCCATCTCCCATTTCCATCTCCCATTTCCATCTCCCATTTCCATCTCCCATTTCCATCTCCCATTTCCATCTCCCATTTCCATCTCCCATTTCCATCTCCCATTTCCATCTCCCATTTCCATCTCCCATTCCATCTCCCATTTCCATCTCCCATTTCCATCTCCCATTTCCATCTCCCATTTCCATCTCCCATTTCCATCTCCCATTTCCATCTCCCATTTCCATCTCCCATTTCCATCTCCCATTTCCATCTCCCATTTCCATCTCCCATTTCCATCTCCCATTTCCATCTCCCATTTCCATCTCCCATTTCCATCTCCCATTTCCATCTCCCATTTCCATCTCCCATTTCCATCTCCCATTTCCATCTCCCATTTCCATCTCCCATTTCCATCTCCCATTTCCATCTCCCATTTCCATCTCCCATTTCCATCTCCCATTCCATCTCCCATTTCCATCTCCCATTTCCATCTCCCATTTCCATCTCCCATTCCATCTCCCATTCCATCTCCATTCCATCTCCCATTCCATCTCCCATTCCATCTCCCATTTCCATCTCCCATTTCCATCTCCCATTTCCATCTCCCATTTCCATCTCCCATTTCCATCTCCCATTTCCAT